TGTCACTTGTTTTCCATCCTGGCTGATAACAAGTGAGCAATATGCTGTGTCAGGGTCAAAGGTCAAGTCCACTGCATGTTCTCTCATTCTGTTCATTTTGATCTCAGGATCCTCCTCCATTATTTCATCAAGTCTTTGTTTCAGCAGACTCACAGCCCCTCTCACTGCCTCCAAAGACAGATGGCTGTGAACACTGACGTTGGTCCAGTCCTTGTTTGAAGGAGAGCACAGGGTTGAGAAGCTCTGGAGAAAATGATGGTGATCCTCAGACTGTGACAGCTGCTCCAGCTGGCTGCTTCTGCTCTGGAGCTCAGCGACTTCCATCCTCAGTTCTGTGAGGAAACCTTCGGCCTTTTGCTTTGTTGCTCTGTACCTCTCCTCAATCAGCTCAACCAGCTCGGCCTGGCTTCTCTGGATGGAGCGGATCAGGTCAGTGAAGACCTGCACACTGGCTTCTTTCTCTTTCTCAGCTTCTCTCTGGCTGACTTCAAGTGACTCTTCAATCTCAGCTATCTTCTCACACCGTGACTCTATCATCTTTTGGATATTTGCCATGGTCTCATCTTTCTTTGCCATCACTGCTTCATATTCTTCCTCAAGTGGGACAACACTGTGACTCCTGTGATCAGTTTTGATGCACAAGACACAAATACAGGCCTGGTCAGTCCTGCAATACAGTTCTGTTATCTTGTTGTGTGTCTTGCACATTTTGTCATCAAGATTCTTCACAGGGTCTAATAATGTGTGGCTCTTAAAAGTAGGAACTCTGTGATGAGGCTCAAGGTGAACTTCACAGAAAGACGCAAGACATGTCAGGCAAGATTTGACGGCTTTTTCCTTTAAATCAGAGCAGATATCACAAAGAACGTCTGCTGTTCCAGGAAGTTGTGGGTCTGGAGTTGAGGCTTTAACTTGAGCTGACGACTTAAACTCAGCGAGTAACTCAGACATCACAGTGTTGGTTTGGAGTTGAGGTCTTGGAGAAAATGTTGTTTTGCATAATGGACACTGGCAAATGTCCCTGCTGTCCCAATACTTATAGATACATGCACTGCAGAAGTTGTGTCCACATGGCGTTGAGACTGGCTCAGTGAACACATCCAGACAGACAGAACACAGGAACTTGTCCTCTGACAGCAGACAGCTGGAAGTTGCCATATCTGGACAATAAGTCATAAATAAAAACACAATTACAACTCACATCATTCAACTGAATAGGCTGAATCATGTGTTTAAACAGTTTATATTTGCTTTAACTTATCATGTTCAACAAGAAACACAGAGGAAAAGGGAACAGTTGAACTATATTATCTTTCTTACCTGTAAAGTAGCAGGTTTTAAAAGCAGCTGCGCAACAATGTCAAAGCAAACTACACTTTGAAAAGTGTCTCCGCATTAAGTTTCGTTTCAGCATGTTGACGTTGGTAACGTCTCCTCCCCTGCTCCATTTCTGATAACATTTAACTCTTTCAGCTCCAGATGCTCTCTCAACTTAGCTCATAGCTGACTTGCTAATTTAGCTCATAGCTAACTTACTAGTTTAGCTCATGGGCTAACTTGCTAATTTATAGCTAACTCGGTAATTTAGCTCATTGCTAATTTGTAAACAATTTTAATTCCAAAGGTTGGGGGCATGTGGCAGGTTCAGGCACAAATATTCAAAGGCGGTTTTCAGATACCTCTACCTGAGTTAGAACAAAACATGACCCTGTGTTTTTTTAAAATAATTTTTATATCTCCCCTCCATGAAATGGATGTTTGTCACGAAAATATTTTATACACTGAAAAGTGATGGTTTTGATTAATAGATTGACTCATTCCCTCAATAAAAACGTGCAAAATAAAAATCTATTATACAACATATAATATATTTTTATCATATTTTATGCCTACATGTGCCCTTTCTATACATCCAGGACATACCTACTGGCTATGAATGACAACAGTAATGTTAGTTACATTGTCTTTTCTAATAGGATAACCACCTGTTATTCATATAACGGGGACATTTGTGGTGTTAGAGCAGCAAAGGTGATAGTGTAATAACAAGAAGCATCAGGAAGATGTAATAAATATATAAACAGTGAAATAAAAACCTACGCTGTCTTTTTTTGTCCACTTTTCATGCTTTTACTCTGTCATAAGTAACGGCAGCGATAGAATTCAAAGGCCTGATGCTTTCAATCACAATTGAAGATCTTTTAGACAAACACTAAAATACATTTTCTATAAACTACTACAGGTATTATTTCTCTCCAAATCACACACACATCTGGTGATGTTTCTGAAGGAGACTTCTGCTTAACAAGGCAATAATAAATCAATTACACAGGGAAATAGGGTCCAGGTTGAAAAATGCCAAAGTTATCCTTTAATACTGTGTCACAGCTTCTAGGTAGAAATGACATGACAAGAGTCTCGTCTAATCAAGTTTAGACGTGCAGTTTATTCAGCCCTAGTTGTCACAGAAGCACAAAATTCACAGTGAATCACAGGAAACCAACAAAATGAAGAATATTTAGACACTGGTCTTTGAAAGGCAAAACATGTCTGATTTTGCAGGAGCAGCAGATTGTAAGAGAACAGAACGTCTCAACAGAGAAACATTGTATCCTCTATTGTGATACAACAGGATCTGACAATATAACTGTGCAACATAAGTATCATGAGTTCACATCATCATATTTACAGAAATGTACAGTGTAGAGAGGGAAACAGGAAGTCACTTGTCATGCAGCGTCATGCTTCTTTTATATATCCATGCATAAAGAGAAAACATGTAAATATTAGAGAGGCTAGTTTGAGATTACCAATATAACATTTGCACATCTGTAAAGTGTATTGACATTAAAGGTCCAGTGTGTAGGATTAAAGGGGATGTATTGGCAGAAATTAATGTAATAACAGTTTTCTTTAGTGTATAATCACCCGAAAATAAGAGTCATTGTCATTTTGTTACCTTAGCATGAGCCGTTTATATCTATATATGGAGCGGGTCCTCGTCTACGGAGACCACCATGTTTTTTAACCGGTTTAAATCACCGACTTTGTTTGTTATTGAAGAGGAAGAGACCTCTGCAGATAAGTCAGCTCCAAGTAAATACCTCCTAGCGATAGACTCTGAAAATTTGTAATTGGAAGAAGTTTCAATTGGTTGCAATCTGCAGTCCTCACCACTAGATGCCACTAAAACCCCCTAAATCTTAAGGCTCTGATGCACCAAGCTGATAGTTGACTGTCAGTCAAAGTTGGGCTGTTGAAGAGCGTTTGTCAAGATCAAAATCTACTTGTTACATTCAGTAAGATTATTTTTCTCTTATCCATTGAGCTCTTTAATAGAAACATTTCATGATGCGTACATTTTTTGGTCACGACACAGCAACGGCCTTCATCTTTCAGGTTTGGTGAATCTGGGCTTTTACACACTGGACCTTTTAAGGAAGGGCCAAACTCAGTGTGTTGTAGGTACAGGGGTTATGATGAGAGGGGCGGACTTTGTTCCATCCATATAGAGTCCAGGGTAGAAGTATGGATACAGTGTCTCTGTGAAGTGGCAGCCAGTGAAAGAATAGATATGAGATTTAGAATTCACATCATAGAAAGAAACCTTTCCCTTATCATAGTCCACAAAGATGCCCACCTTCTCAAGATTTCCTTTCACTGTGATGTGAACGCATTGTGTTGTATAAGCTCTATATGAACCCTCATCAAGCCCAAAGGTCCAGAAACCATTTTCAAATGACAGAGCCATGTTTTTATTTCTCTCAACAGACTCTCTGACCACTCCGAGATACCAGTTAGTCTTTCCTGTCACTTGCACTTCATAGTAAAACTTCCCTGATGTGAACCCCTCCTTTGCCAAAACCTCTGCACACACTTCAAACCTCTTTGGACTGTAGGGAAGTTTCTGTTATATGCCTACATATGTCACTTGTTTTCCATCCTGGCTGATAACAAGTGAGCAATATGCTGTGTCAGGGTCAAAGGTCAAGTCCACTGCATGTTCTCTCATTCTGTTCATTTTGATCTCAGGATCCTCCTCCATTATTTCATCAAGTCTTTGTTTCAGCAGACTCACAGCCCCTCTCACTGCCTCCAAAGACAGATGGCTGAGAACACTGACGTTGGTCCAGTCCTTGTTTGAAGGAGAGCACAGGGTTGAGAAGCTCTGGAGAAAATGATGGTGATCCTCAGACTGTGACAGCTGCTCCAGCTGGCTGCTTCTGCTCTGGAGCTCAGCGACTTCCATCCTCAGTTCTGTGAGGAAACCTTCGGCCTTTTGCTTTGTTGCTCTGTACCTCTCCTCAATCAGCTCAACCAGCTCGGCCTGGCTTCTCTGGATGGAGCGGATCAGGTCAGTGAAGACCTGCACACTGGCTTCTTTCTCTTTCTCAGCTTCTCTCTGACTGACTTCAAGTGACTCTTCAATCTCAGCTATCTTCTCACACCGTGACTCTATCATCTTTTGGATATTTGCCATGGTCTCATCTTTCTTTGCCATCACTGCTTCATATTCTTCCTCAAGTGGGACAACAATGTGACTCCTGTGATCAGTTTTGATGCACAAGACACAAATACAGGCCTGGTCAGTCCTGCAATACAGTTCTGTTATCTTGTTGTGTGTCTTGCACATTTTGTCATCAAGATTCTTCACAGGATCTAATAATGTGTGGCTCTTAAAAGTAGAAACTCTGTGATGAGGCTCAAGGTGAACTTCACAGAAAGACGCAAGACAAGTCAGGCAAGATTTGACGGCATTTTCCTTTAAATCAGAGCAGATATCACAAAGAACGTCTGCTGTTCCAGGAAGTTGTGGGTCTGGAGTTGAGGCTTTAACTTGAGCTGACGACTTAAACTCAGCGAGTAACTCAGACAAAAAAGTGTTGAATTGGAGTTGAGGTCTTGGAGAAAATGTTGTTTTGCATAATGGACACTGGCAAATGTCCCTGCTGTCCCAATACTTATAGATACATGCACTGCAGAAGTTGTGTCCACATGGCGTTGAGACTGGCTCAGTGAACACATCCAGACAGACAGAACAAAGGAACTTGTCCTCTGACAGCAGACAGCTGGAAGTTGCCATATCTGGACAATAAGTCATAAATAAAAACACAATTACAACTCACATCATTCAACTGAATAGGCTGAATCATGTGTTTAAACAGTTTATATTTGCTTTAACTTATCATGTTCAACAAGAAACACAGAGGAAAAGGGAACAGTTGAACTATATTATCTTTCTTACCTGTAAAGTAGCAGGTTTTAAAAGCAGCTGCGCAACAATGTCAAAGCAAACTACACTTTGAAAATGACTCCTTCAGTCTCTGCATTAAGTTTCGTTTCAGCATGTTGACGTTGGTAACGTCTCCTCCCCTGCTCCATTTCTGATAACATTTAACTCTTTCAGCTCCATTCACAGGAGTATCAGTATTTGTGAAGTTAAAGATGCTCTCTCAAGTTAGCTCATAGCTAATTGGGAGCGTATCTATGTTTCCCGGGTTATATGTTTCCCACTTAACCCTGCAAAAAAGGTTCTATGTTCCCCGCTTACACAAAAAAGGTCCTATGTTTCCCAACCTTCTGGAAAGGATATAATTGCCCAGATTGCCCACCATAGATCGCCCAAAGGGTATGTTTCTCATTGTAATTTCTCCCTATTATGTTCTGTTGTGTGTGTTTAGAGATGTTAAAACAACATATTAATGCAACTGCTATGTTTCCTGCCTTTTTTGGATAAGCGGGGAACATAGAACCTTTTTTTTAGTAAGCGGGAAACATAGAACCTTTTTGGGTGGTAAGCAGGGAACATAGAACCTGGGAAACATAGGGATGACCCCAACTTGCTAATTTAGCTCATAGCTAGCTTGCTAATTTAGCTCATAGGTAATATGCTCATTTTAGCTCATAGCTAACTTGCTAATTGTAGCTCATAGCTAACTTGCTAATTGTAGCTCATAGCTAACTTACTTATTTAGCTCATAGCTAACTTGCTAATTTAGCTCATAGCTAACTTACTTATTTAGCTCATAGCTAACTTGCTAATTTAGCTCATATGTAATATTAGGCTGACCAAACGTCCTCTTTTGCCCGGACATGTCCACATTTCACATCCCGTCCAGGGTCACCCTATGTAATATGCTCATTTTTGCTCATAGCGAACTTATTAATTTAGCTCATAGCTAACTTGCTAATTGTAGCTCATTGCTAATTTGTAAACAATTTTAATTCCAAAGGTTGGGGGCATGTGGCAGGTTCAAGCAGTAATACTCAAAGGGGGTTTTCAGATACCTCTACCTGAGTTAGAACAAAACATGACCCTGTGTTTTATTAAAATAATTTTTAAATTTCCCTTCCTTGAAATGGATGTTTGTTACGAAAATATTTTATACAGTGAAAAGTGATGATTTTGATTAATAGATTGACTCATTCCCTCAATAAAAAGTGCAAAGTAAAAATTACTTTGGAGATTGTTGGGGTACTGACTTAAAGGATAATTTCGTCATTTTTCAACCTGGCCCCTATTTCCCCGTGTAAATTGAACAAAGAGGCTGATACAAACAGTAGCGTTTCTGATGAGTGAGGGAGCCGGCAGCTGTGAAACAAGCTGCAATGGAGGTACATGGGGCAACTGGACATCGTCACTGTATGTCCATTAAAAGTGCTTATTTTTGCCACGGAGCGGCTCAGATTATTATTATAAGTGTCCTTTACCTTTCACTTGATATTTAAATAAAGTTGTCATGGTCTTTCACGGTCTGTCATGTGGCATCTAGGTGAGTCTGACCACAAGGGGTCAGGCACAACAAGCAGGAGCTGAGTGGCTCAAACTTTGCCCCACTTACACTTTTACAGGGAACTCCTGGGAGCTGAACCTCTGGTCTTTATAAAACTGCAAATAAAACATATAAAGTGCTTCAAAACAGTGCCGTTCAGAACCCAAATATCAAAACATCCTGAATACCTTAAGTATCTACAGAAAACAGCTTGTTCAAACCCTCCTGAGATTAATATTCTGTGGACATAATTACTAAGATGTATTAAAGGCTGATTATATTAAATCAAATCAGAACAGAAAACGTGACTGTGAAATTCCATGACTTTTCTAGGTCCTCCATGACCGTGCAGGAATATTGGTGGAATATTCATTTTCATTTGCCATGTCAACAGCTTGGTGGGAATATGATCTTTTTTGGAATAAGGGCAAAGTCTGAAATATTTTGTGCTTTAGCCACTTTATTAGGTACACCTTGCTCGTACCAGGTTGGACCCCTTTTGCCTTCAGAACTGCCTTAATTCTTGGTGTCATAGTTTCAACTAGATTTTGGTCCATATTGACATGATAGCATCACACAGTTGCTGCAGATTTCTTGGCTGCACATCCATGATGAGAATCTCCTGTTCCACCACATCCCAAAGGTGCTCTATAGGATTGAGATCTGGTGACTGTGGAGGCCATTGGAGTACAGTGAACTCATTGTCATGTTCAAGAAACCAGTTTGAGATGATTTGAGCTTTGTGACATGGTGTGTTATCCTGCTGGAAGTAGCCATCAGAAGATGGGTACACTGTGGTCATAAAGGGATGGACACGGTCAGCAACAATACTCAGGTAGGCTGTAGTGTTTAAACCATGCTCAGTTGGTACTAAGGGGCCCAAAGTGTGCCAAGAAAATCTCCCCCACACCATTACACCACCACCACCAGCCTGAACCGTTGATACAAGGCAGGATGGATCCATGATGCCAAATTCTGACCCTACCATCTGAATGTGGCAGCAGAAATCCAGACTCATCAGACCAGGCAACGTTTTTCCAATCTTCTATTGTCCAGTTTTGGTGAGCCTGTGTGAACTGTAGCCTCAGTTTCCTGTTGTTAGCTGGCAGGAGTGGCACCTGGTGTGGTCTTCTGCTGCTGTAGCCCATCTGCTTCAAGGTGGGTCATGTTGTTGGTTCAGAGATGGTCTTCTGCAGACCTTGGTTGTAACCAGTGGTTATTTGAGTTACTGTTGCCTTTCTATCATCTTGAACCAGTCTGGCCATTCTCCTCTGACCTCTGGCACCAGCAAGGCATTTCTCCTCACTCAATATTTTCTCTTTATGGGACCATCCTCTGTAAACCTTAGAGATGGTTGTGTGTGAAAATCCCAGTAGATCAGCAGTTTCTGGCAGACCAGCCCTTTTGTCCCATTCTGATGCTCAGTTTGAACTTCAGCAGGTCGTCTTGACCATGTCTACATGCCTAAATGCACTGAGTTGCTGCCACGTGGTTGGCTGATTAGCTATGTGCGTTATCGAGCAGTTGAACGGGGGTACAAGATGCTAAAACTTGGCAAACATAATGTGAAATTTGAATAGATGGATGCATGACACTGCGGTTGCAAGTGTACATGTATTTTTTTGTCACGATCTTCACACATGTACCTCCTTTTGTCACTCCAGTGCACATAATGCTTGCCTCCCCCCTTGCTTGTATTTGACATGCACGCTCAGTCATGCCCTGCTCCTTAGCGGGACACAAACTGCAGCAGCATGAGACTGGACACAGAGGCACTGGCTGGGCATAGAGATGAGCGGGCTTTCGGGACAACCACATTTCTGTTTGCTCTACCATGTGTCACCTATGCAAATACAAGGAAATGGAAGCAGACAGATTCCAAATTCCTCTCCACAGAACGATGATATTCTGCACCTTTTTTTCCAAGCTCCGGTTGGATGATGTTTGTTAGGAAAACTTGACCTAATGGATGACATCCTCTGCTAAGTAATGCTGTTTCGGTAGGCTGATTGTCGCCAGTCCAGGTAACCACTGCAGAGCTCCCTCCCCTGCAGCCACCATCTACTCCTAACAGCTTGCAAGCTTATTGAATTACTGACGTGGAAAAGGAGGCAAATACATTGTGAAGAGTCTGTTTTGGTCCGAGAGGAAGTCTCGCTGTGTTATTATTTCCGAGTTGTTATTTCTGAGTTTCTTCTTTTTCTTTCACAAATCCTGCGAACAGTTGCATTCCTTTGGTAATTATACGACTCCTGGAGAAAAAAAAGAGGCGCTCTGTTCACTCATTTCAGAATTATTTACATAAAGAGCAATTTGAAAATCAGTTGTTAGTCTTACTAGCTTGGCTGGAATTCATAAGACGTATCCAAGTCAACAGTAAGAGCTCCAACTGTACATTTATTAACAGATGTTCATGTATGTGCACCCTGGCCTCGCACAAAAAAAAAGCCTACACACTAAGTTTGGTCACCGTCCGTGCTTTCTTCCCGTCTTTATCTTTGTGTATTCATGTACACCTCATTCAGGAATTCTTGAGGGGGTATGTGGTTACATTGTAACCAAGGTTATGCTGTGCACGGCTCGGTGGTATTCAGCCTATCTTGTGGTGAAGGGTAGCAGCTCCATTTCCTCCTCTGTCACTCCTCATTGTGACCCTTTCCACAAGTTCACACTGTGCTGCCTTCAGGGACGGTCAGAAATATGACAACATCTAATACAAGTCCAAAAACACGTTTATGGTGTCAGCTTTTTACAGAATGTAACTAATTCAGTTTTGAGGTACATGTACTTTGCAACTTTATACTTCTGCTCTGGTACTTTTTGGAAGCCGATGTTGCACTTTTTACTCCACCACATTTATTTGATGACTATGTTACTTTGCAGATTCAGATTAGCGATACAAAATATAAAGTTCTGATATGTTGCAATATATATTACTTTAAATGCATTATGTCCCAGCTCAGAAAGCGAAGGTAGTCCATATTTCAAGTGTCAGAAATAACAAAAGGTCCTTGTCTAATGTCTAATTGTCGATTGCAACCCTTACTTCTACTATAGCATCGCAAATAACCATATATACCCTTCAAACAGGCCCTAACCGGGGCGAACATTGACCTTATCAAGATTATATTAAATTAAACTTAAAATATTGAAGGACATTTATTTTTAAAAGACTGTTTGCCTGCTTTTACTGTGGTAAAAGATGTGATAAGATGCTTCCTCCACCACCGACAGCATATATCTTACTTATGTGATACATTTTCAGTTAAAGTTAGTTCATAAAACCTTTGAATGTTAATTTGACACTTGTAGTATCTGCATTTATACTTTATACACCCACAAAATATACCTCAACTTTTATATTTTGCTTTATGTCTATTTACATTGCAGATGAAATGGGTTGTACAACTGAAATTGAACTCACCGTACATGGCAGTTGATAGAAATCTGTTTGAGATTAATGTGCACATGGTCCCTGATAAATACATTTCATAAAAAATACACACTGTTGTCACATTAGAAGAAAAAACACGCAGTTTGATCCCTGTGTCTTTCTGTCAAGCTGCTCGTTTCTGAGTGTGAATTCCTGTTAATGCCTGCCAACGTTGATAATTACGAGCTGCACCCAAAGGCAGCACAGACACAGACCTGCTGTCGGACACCCTGAATGCAACAAGCTTGACTGGACCAAACGCTCACAGCTGCAGTGCTGTCCACTGTGTCCTGACGGCAGCAGCATCAAAACGAGGGTTTATATCCGCACCAAACCTTGGTCTGGTGAGTATGTTTCGGCTACGAGGCGAAAACATTAGTGACTGTAAGGTAATGTGGTTAAACTTTGTCCTGCGCATCAACGACGCAGGTGGAGGGACGTTTTATTTTCTGTCAGGATGCTCGAGCCAAACGTTACACCCCGTCCTGGAAACCAGAGGAGACAAAGTTTGTCCTAAACCGTAAAAGACACGAATTGACTTGAGTTATGGGCTGAAGGACACCAGCTGCGGTCAAAGTCCGAAATCTCCGAGGCAGGACATGTTATCAATACAAGAAGAGACCATCTTAGTGGGTAACTGACGATGCCGTGAACGCATCTGGACGGGCAGCGGTCATTAAAGGAAAACCACGTTAGCTTAGATGCTATAAAACACGAAGTGCCTGTTTTACCCACTGTATTTTATTAGCAAGTTTTAAAAAATAAGCACGACATGTCTGGGACCTTATGAGTGTATTACTTAACCTGTATGTTTGCTTTTGTGGTGAACTTTAATTCGCGCATTAATGTTTAAAGGAGCACGTTGTCACAGGTGATTTAATCAGGTGAGGGCTGGGCTGGGTCTGTACTGTAGCTGTCGTATACCGTTAATCAAATAAAGTATGTGTCAGTGTATCATTACAAAAACTTCTTCAGTTGTAGCGGTTCACAACTGGTCCAGCCCCGGCGTCCACATTCCTCCTTAGTGATTAGTTCAAGGTCCACACAGTTATATATTCAACTTCATACGTTTGGCTATGTCGTCAAGCTAGCATGCCGTCTGTGAAGTAGCTGGCACTTTAATGCTGTGATCCAATTACATTCCTATGAGCGGTGAGACTCAAGATGATGTTGTAAAATGTCATAACTTCCGGTTTAAAATAGGCGAAATGCGTCCCTGTTTGCGTTTGTACCATTTACGACTTAAGCGTAAACAAAGATGGATGCCTCCAAGAAAGCGGTCGTCGCTTTTGCAGTAGCGGAGACTTTATTATTAGCAACACTGCTAGCTGCTTTCACCAACACCAAGGGATAAACAACACATACAAGATATTCCACGCACAACAACACATCATAAAGCATTCCCATAAGGCATTATAATGTGTACGAGTAATTAAAATGAAGACTAAAATTTGCTAAACGCTGAAAATAATACTAAAGAGCAGAGCCACAAATATAGGGCGCAGCCATCTTTGCTTTCATCTGTCTTTTGAAACTCGTAGTCCTCTGAGTTTGTACAAGACAGCTACTGATAGAACTGCCTCAAAGAGGCGTGTCATGACGTGCCGCTGCGTTATTTTGCGCAGCTTCCTGTCTTTCCTACCGTCTTACTAACAGTAAGATCTATATGGAACGCACCACAAAATTGTTTCTCATTTTCATTTTGGAAAAAAGTTCCGCTTTCAGACTAAATCATTTTGATATCAATCGCTGTGCACACGGATCCGCAAAAATGACGAAAATCGCTGTACTGTACCTGCCAGGCCAGTAGTTGGCAGTGTGAATTTGCAGTGACACGACATGCGCCTGAACACATGCGCTTCCCTCTACGGAGTGTTGATGTTTGGACAAACAAAATGGCAACCCAACGTTTGTCTGGACGTATGACAAGATGGAGTTGCTACAGTAAGGGCCGTTTCATAGTCGACTCAAAGGAACGAAGACGCGAAGGCGCTGGGACGCATCAAGACACATTGGCTGCCATGATGTGTGCTTGTGTCTCAAAATGTGTTGTCCATTTTTTTGATACGTGACGCATGTAATACCACGCGTTGCCAGCAGGGGTGATAATGCAAGCGACGTACTTGAAATTAACCACTTTTTGTTATTCACAGAAGAAGCAGGTATGAAATATGGCGGGCAAGAAGGAAAAAATTTGAAAACTCATAAAGGCACACCCCCATTTATATGAAGGTTCTAGTGCCCTGCACTCTAATAAAATAGCAGTACTAGCTAGCTACAGCAGTACTAGCTAGCCGGAATGTACCCCATGACTCTGCTACCCTCTATTGTGCAAGCGATATATTGCATTTCAAGTGACGCCCACGTCGCTTGCGTTCAATGTGTTGACTATGAAAGGAAGAGTGTTGCTTGCGTCGCCTGCTCGCATTGGGTGCATCAACTATGAAACGGCCCTTAATCCACACTTTGCTGGAGAAGCGTTGATAAATTCAACAGGGTGAGCAGCACAAACAGAGCTCGGGAGTCCGAACCCATTTTCAAAACGTTGCGTTTTCAGGCACCCAAAATGCCACTGTCGTACAAACAATCAGCCAAAAAGCAGCTAAAGTTTAACGTTTTCGGTTGAAATCATTGTTAACAGGACCTAAAATAACAGCACTGTGCTGAAAATTCACAGTCCTACAAAATGATGTGTGTTTTTTACAAAGTTGATTCGTTCACGAGTCACTTATGGTCCATTCAGGATGGACCCGCGACCCACTTTTGGACCGTTACCCACCAGCTGGGAACCGCTGCCATAGACAATAGGTTCTTTCGAGATGAACTGCGCCTCGCCTGGAAAGTAGACAAGAGCAGGCGGCCGCAGCGGGGGGAGGTGACAAAAAGCTGCGGTGAAGTTGGACAGTTTCCCGACAGTTTCCAGCAGGAAGTCACAGACACACTTACATCCTGTCTGGAATGATTTCAATTCATTAAAAAAGTGATCAGACCCATATATCAGTTTGTTTTCACCATCAGTCACACAACATGTTTTCTGTTCACAGAATAAACCTTCAGATCAGACAAATACAACCTTAATCTCTAAAATTCAACAAAAATAAGTAGTTCATCTAAAATGTCATATTGTTGAGTCGGCATCTGAACCAGTCAGCTGTTAGATCAGGTGAGAGCCAGGCAGTGCACTCGGTGGAGAGCAACTGCAGCGCCTGGCTCTAAAAACTGCGGCCGCCTCGCTCACACGGCTTTATCGCCATCCACTTTTGTAATACGTCAGAGCAAGTCGGGATGAAGTCGCACACAAAACTAACCGGCATGCATTGTGCGCCGATCGCCGGTGATCGAATCTGTGCAGGCCTGGCTCATCTCGAACGAACCTGTTGAATTGGGAAAGATGTTCTAGATTGGTGGTTCCCAACTGGTCCAGCCCAGGGGTCCACATTTCTCCTTAGTCATTAGTTCAAAGTCCACACACTTTTATATATTCAGTATCATACTTGCGTTTGGATGTGTTGTAGAGCTAGTTTACTGTCTCTGTCAGGCAGCTGTCCATTAGTCACTCACTCTACAAAAGGAAACAGCACTTCAGTTGTGTGCCGGAAATTCACTGTTCTTAAAAATAAAGTGTGCTTTTTACAAACTTGACACGTTATGTGTGTCACTTGCGGTACATTCAGAATGGACCAATGAAATTTGAGCAACCTGAAAGAATTTTTTTTAAATTCTAAAACTTGAATTTTTTGATCTGTATGTGAACACAAAAAACAAAAAAAAAAAACAAGATTGTATTAAGGATTTAGTGGCTATTAAAATTCAACCACTGATGTCCCTTATCTGCTTCCATAGTAGCAGTCATTACAATAAAAGTAAAAGTTTACCCTAATTACAACAATCAAACAAAGGCATTTCCTCTAACTTACCTCTAGCTCTGTTTAGTCATAGAGATAGCTTGGTTATATGTGCTACGGACAGTCTCTGAGGTTTCTGCTTTCACTTATGACCTATCCTGACTGTTTTAGATGGTTATTAGACATATGCTGGTGTATGAATCCCTGGTCAACAAACCCAAAACCTGCACTATTCCCACAGCTGCTGTTCACTGAAGGATACCGTGTAGATCAATGTTATGGGTCTAAGTGCTTCCACACCCCATGGCCTTTTATTCACAGAGCTGAAACTGTGTTCAACTCAATTAAGGATGCAAAGGTTTATGGTCCGTTTGGTGCTATGAATAATTTAAAGATGCGGTTTGTGGACATAACAAGAGGAGGTGATGTTGTGAACTTGGATGCTGCATCATTTAACAACTAGGCTAGTACGACACACCCCAGTGGGGACCCTGTTAATAAAAATATAGCAGAAGGAGTTAGAAAATTGCGACAAGTGCAAATAAAAGGTGAGGTGTAGAGACAGAAATATGACTTTAGCTTGTCGGCATGGCTTGTTTTTTTTCAATGGGCCCCGTGAGCTTGTTACTTGATACTACTGTGTGATCAGCTGGGAGTTATGTGCAGCTAGGAGGAGTACCGATGTGACAACAGTCATTTTATTTGACATGGTAAAGCATGCAAACTGTAAACGCAGAGACTGGATGTTGCGTTTGTTGTGACATGTGATAGGCAGCTGTGTCCCTGTGGCAAACAAAATCCCTCTGATTACTCTCTCTTGCTGTGGCACACATTTTATGCAGAGCTGTTGAACGACAATAAGCTGTTTCCTGACATGATTAGGTTGGCTTTGCCTGACTAATTTGGACAGGTGCTGCTACCTGTCAGTGTCAGTGTTAATGTATATGCACTGTCATCCTTATTTTCCTGTCTCCCAGATAAAGGCGACGGCATTTGGGTTGCAGTAGAAAAAGTTTATCAGAGGGAGAGAAATTCAATTATGTTCTGACTTTACATGTTGAGTCATATTAGCAATACACTTGGAGTTTGTTCTTTGCACTTTTCGTATGTATTTCCCATTATCCTCTTCTTGCACTGAGAAAGAAATCTGCACTTTCAGAGCTGAACAGGAGGAAGGAAGATGTCGGCGGTGTATAAAGACGACCAGGAGGACTGGCTGACAGTGTGTCTCAAGTACCTGCTCTTTGTTTTCAACTTTCTCTTCTGGGTAAGTGAGAGCTGGAAATGTCGTCTTCTTCTTAAGCTACTTACACTCACAAAAAAACTTTACAGGAAAAGCCTTTCAAGCGGTTACACTTTTTTTCTATTCACTCTTGTTTACTCACAATGTGAATAAGATTTGGGCAGCCAATGCATTGCAGTGTAAGTATAAATACCATTCACTGTCTAAAAAATTGAATTAGCCTCGTTGGTTTGTGGATTCCCATTTTGAAGCCTCAAATTTGGCTTTTTGGCTGTTGCCATCTTGGATTTCTGGAGCCAGAAGTGACCATGTTTAGACCCGAGGGTGGAACTAACCCGAATGCTGGGTTCACACTACACGATATCAGCCTGATTATAGCCCAACGCAGCGTCGTACGGTGTCGGCTTGGATTGTGAATGACAATGAGTGTTGTACGAGATGATCTATCGTTTCATCTCGTGTAGTCATAGTAGACAACAAGTGTCGTAGTGTCTGGGATGCTTCATGACGTCCCTGACAGAAAGTCTAGAATGTTTAATTTTCTTTCATGACTTCTTTCATCACAGCCGTCACTTTGACCAATAGAAACACACCAATTTGCTGCCATGAACAACTGTATGACAACAACCCCCCAGACTCTTTGATATTTCCTCTGGGGATGTTACCATGACAGAGTAAAAAGGGAAAAATGATGGTGTGAAACAGCAGAGGCACTTTTTCTGTCCGGTGGCTACTGCCGTTAGCCTCAAGCTAGCAGAGAATAGTATTTCTTCATAATAGAGAAGGATATAAATAGTAGCAGGAATTTTACTCACCACAACTGCAGAGGCTACCAGCTTCATTTGAAACAGACTACATTATAAATGGGCCGTTATTTATTATTCCCTCTGTATTTTTAGATTTTTACTTTTATCCGCTCCCGTTTGCCTTGATGAAATTAATGCATCCATTTCAAACTCAACACTTCTGTATCTGTTTCAAATTAAAAGCTCCTCATAACTTTGGTTGAGAAAATCCCTTTATTTTATTGTGGCTTTTATTTTGAAACATTTACAGGAACTTGTTGTGGAGGATTCAGTGACTTGCTTAGTTTGCATAAAGTACTTCAAATTAACTCCTGCCATCTGCTGGTGCCACTTACGTTAGTACAGTAACATTTCAGCTGGTACATGAACAGTCATAGTGACTGAAATAATAGTAGTAATAATAATAAAAGTAAGACAAGACTAATCCGATGACATCACACATGTCGTGAAAGACGACCAGCGATAATTGGTCGTGGACCATCGTGTAGTGTGTTATGTCTGTCGGCCAAGTCACGGCACAATGGTTTATTCTGACGTAGTGACTGTCAGAGTTTACAAAAATGTCGTGTAGTGCGATATCAGCCTAATGTTAGCTGCTAGCCTGGTTAGCACGGTGAATTTATAGCTATGGTTAAGTGTGATAATGCAAATGCTAATTTTTCGCTTGCGATAAACAGGTTTAAAGCCATTAAATAAATATACTTACCAGACAAGTCCAACTCCTTCGAGGGTCTGTTAATACAACCAAATACTGAACAAGACTTGTTTTAGGCAACCAAAATGTTACAGTTAAACTTTGGGTACACAGAAATCTCTCTGTCCTAAGCCCCTCCCACCAGGGGACCACACACATTTGCACAGGCTTCATACAGTAACCCAGTGTTTCTAATACATTGATTTATTTAATCTTATTTCATTGTAGAGTTGCGCACAGCTCATTTACTTTGCCTGTCCTTGCCCTGCTCTTTCTCTTTGTTTATCAGACCACAAATGAGATAAGCATTAGCTACTTTACTTAGCTAATGTTAGCCACCCCACGGTCCCTCTGCCTCACTCCCCGCTGCTGTGGATTGCTTCACCTGGACAAGGCTCAACAATAATGATTGCCCGATTGCCCGGGGCAAGTAAAACTCAAGGTTGGGCATGTAAACTAACAACTCACTTGCCCGATCAGGCAAGTTGCTAAAAATAGTAAAAGTTAATAACTAATTGATAAAATAAATGTATTTTAAAACGTGCTCCTTCGGCTCTGATGCAGTGGTCTCTCTGCCTGAAGTCACAAGCACACGCTGTGTAACAATGTCCTGCCCACAGCCCCCATTAATATTATTTTGCGCGACGGAAGCTTCATATAATAACAAAACAATATACTATTTATAGTGTTATGTCATCGTGTCATTTCTGTCTCTACATGGTCACGCGTTAACAATTCTCCTCTGCTCTCTGTATCGCGCACGGTGGAGTTCCGCCACGCACACAGGTGAGCATGCTAGAGCAGCTCGGGCCGCATTTTCCTGACCAAACCTGACCCCGAGCCCGGTGCAGTTTGTCAGCTGACAAAGTTGTTGTTGTTATGGACAGTGTGTAAATAACCATCAACAGACTGCTGTTACGCACAGACAAACAGCTGCTCGCACAGCAGTGCAGCACGTGCTGAGCTTGTGTTGCGTTCAGGCGTTGTCACGTAAATAACAACTTCCAGCACTTAAATAGGTCATAGCACAAAACAGCAGCATATCATGTGACTTTTTACTTTTATTATATTCAATAAAATTGTATGTTCCTAAATCTTGAGACACCTCATATGTAAGCTAGACAGACATTTCACCTGCTCATTACTGTGCACACATGTACTGTATGTACTTAGTCCTAAAGAGCCCTTCTGGTGCCAGTAGATACATAGAAACATCCCAGGAGGCTGTGCTTTGCAAGCATACAAAAAAGTTTCACGCATGTGAAAATTATTTTTCATGCGTGTGCTTCACCTCCGCTGCTACAACTCCATCCTAGGGGAAACACTGCTGTGTGCGTTTTGTGCAACAGGTGGATGTGGTAGTCTACTGGTAGAGTAGAGAGAGAGCTAGGTAGCGTTGAAGTACAGTAGAGCAGGGCAGAGAGATGGAAGCAAAATATATTAAACCCGGTGTTAATACAGCAGAACTGGAGAGAGGGGTGAAAAATAATTAGAGGTGGGCATGGCTCAAGTAGGGCGCAAAATTATAGACGGAGAACGATTGACAAATTTTTCACTTTAAGCCCTGACACTGTAATTACAGTAATAACTGCTGTCTTTGTTATCTGATAGCTGCTTAAATTAAACAATTTTTATAGGGCAAGTAAAAACTGACTTCGGGCAAGTAGATCTCTGACCAACTTGCCCGACCGGGCAAGTGAAAAAAAAACCTTAGCGTTGAACCCTGACTGGAGGAGAGCAGGTAGCAGTTCGGGAGATGGACCTTTGGTCAGCAGCTGTAATGTCAGCGGCTCGAATTTGGCCAGCGCAAACCCCCCAGTGCAAATGTAACAGTGGGCTGGTGTCCAGCAGTGCCGGGTCTTACCTGTGTAACTTCAGCAACAGAAAGTTAAGTGACGCGGCGGGGAGTCGGGGCTGTTCAGTACCCCAGAGCTTGGGTATGTGCCGCCTGGATTTAGGTTGCTGCGGCTGCTGACTGGGGGTCCATCTCTAGAGCTGTTCCCAGGGAGGTGCAACAACTATGGCTCGTCTATACTTTTGGGGAATTCAGGGTTATGCTGTGGTTATGTTACCTAACCAACATTGTTGCCATGGTAGCGACTTGTCAATGGGTAATACCCACCTGTTGCTCATAGCTGCTCCCCTTTAATTATGTGTAACTTTAAGTCATAATAAAATGTAAATAGGTGAGTTATATAAAAGTTCACCCCCATACCGGTGTCATAAATGGTTAAATTAGCTACAGAGACCAAAATATTTTTTGTACCAGGCTGTAATCATGTTTATTTCTGCTGTTAAGTTGGGCATTTTAACATCAGTGTCCTCGGGGTTTGACTGGCTTTGGAGCCAGCACATGTGGCCATTTGTGGAACTGCAGTCTTTGGCACCTCCGCTCTCGCTTCAGTGTTCAACTCCAGAGGTTGCTGCTACATCATATTTTCAGTTAAGAGTAGTTAAAGCTAATTTTCCCGGTTGATGTTTAGTGAAAGAGCAATCTTAATTTTGTGCTAAGACAAAGTTAATATAATGTTCCTTTCAAACTGCAGGCAGAGAGACATTAGAGAGGAGCCATGTAGAGAATTAAGCAGAGTTCTGAGTGGGAAAAAGCTGAGCTGTGGACTCGGCCCAAAGTGAGTCATAGATTATTTAGGGCTTGTCAGTGTTGGATGGGAAACAGTATGTCAGAATGTCTGCTCTCTGGCACCACACTTTATGATACTGCAATTCGCTGCTAAAAGTGTATGCTCTTACAGCTACTGTGCAAAGTGTCTGGGGTCACTTTGAAGCATTTTGAAGTCTGAGGCAAAGTGAATACTGTGTGTGGAGAGATTGGGACGAATCTGTGTGTGGGAGAGGTTAAAGAGAGAAAAGGGATCAAGCTTTGCCATCAGGCTCGGGTAAGTGCTCTGTCAACACCGTAAAATTCATAACTTGAGGAAACACATTGTCTCCCTCTCCTCCTTGGACCACCACACATCTCTTTTTTAAGACTTTTTCTTCATCCCCCAGTGCACCATGGGGGCTGTACATCCCTGCCTTGGTTTAAAACATTTTAAAGATATATGAATCTATTATAATTTAATGTAACTTGCATTTCTTAAAAATAAAAGTTGTACATAGGGCTGGGCAATGTGGCTAAAAATTCCGAATCAGCAGATATTGATGATTATTCAAAATAGTCAAAACCATTATGTAATTGTAGTTTAAAGGCAAATTTTTGCTCCTGTGTGAAAGATTCTTGAGCATTAATCGTGGTTTAAACTATTATTGTCAAAACATGACAAATACTTGCCAAACAGCAGAGCATTTCACCAATCTGAGGCAGATTCAAAACAATTAGAGTCAAAATAATGTTAGTCATTAAAACAATAAATAGATAAAGAAATCTTAATTCTGGTCAGGAACTTGTTAAAAATAATGTTTTTACACCTGCAGTGTGCCCCCGAATAGTTGACCAAACATTAGTCAAACAGAAAGATCATTAGTCAGCAAGATTCCATTGGTCGCTTAGTCGCAGAAAAACAAGCAAACAAATGTGAAACTCTATTAGGAGCTGCACCTTGTCAAAATAAATCAAAACCTATATGACTGGACCATGTGGGACGACAGGCCTACACACTTAAAAGCAGCTCCTGGAAGAAGATCAGCTCTGCACTCAGGGTTTCAGGTAAATAGGCTATATGATGCTTGTTAAGGTTGCTTAGCAACCTCAGACACAACCTGCTGCCAACCTCTTGAACGATGGCACAAAAAAGGCACAAGAGTAGCGCCCAGCGCCGGACCTTGGGTTTTCCAGGCAGTTAAAGACACGGCATGTGTACAGCCTCTAATTTCCTAATGGCCTCTAATTTTCATGGTACCTGCGGTTATTCCACAGGCTAGTTAACAACATGTCGGGCAGGAAATCCAAAGAGTGGGATCATTTTGAGAAGGTGAAGGACGCAATCCAAGGTGATATGTAAACTCATCTTCATTGGTCAACTACAAACATGACGTATCATCTGAAACATGGAAGTAGCTACATGCCCATTAGCCACTTAGCACAATCTAGTCTATGGGCATAAGGCTGGTTTAATTCTACGGAGGATTTGTCAAACATTTATTATATCTCTATCAAGGAAAATTATATCGTTAAATTATCCTTATTATTTTATCGCACAGTCCTAGTCCGACATATGCTATAGTTTGGGAAGAGTCATGTCCCTCAGGCCCCTGTTTCTCCAAGGGGCACTCCTTGGTTTGGCATGTGTTGCTGTGAGTTTGTGGATCTTGGTCTTGACTGAAATTAAATGGGAGGATGAAGGGTAGAGACTCTCTGAGGCATTTCCTCTCCGTGCGCCTTTGAAACTGATGAGAGGAACAGATCCTGGACGCCACCCTGGGTCTGTTGTCCAGGATTGTTTGTAAGGAAGTGGTCATTATGCCCTAATTTGACCTTTGAAGTCCCTCCGCTCCTGTGGCTGTTGTTCTTTACGCCTGGCCTCTCCTCACTGTTTCTCTTTCTGTTTCCTCTCTCCTTATGGCCCTTTACACTCGCCCACTGTCCTCTCATGTTGTTGCATTTTGTGACTCATTGAGTAGCATTGAACTCGCTTCCTACTTGTCACTTCCTGCCCTGTAAAGTGCCATACATTTTTGTCTTTTGTTTTTCTTCAAGCATGAATTGGTATGACACACTGTGTTTTCACTGTATGGCCTTTCTCTGTTTGAGCCATCCATATCTCCTCTGTCTCCATTTTATGACTCATACCTTTTCATCGTTTATGTTTTTTTTAATCTAGTTTTCCTTCTATGGAAGCTTTTGCTTTCAGAGCTCTATCTGTCTCCTTATCTTAATGTTCTAATACCGCTTTCTCCCCACCACCTCCTCTCCCCTTCTCCTCTAGGTGGGCGGAGCTGCTGTTCTGAGCGTAGGAGTCTGGACACTGGTGGAGAAGAGTGACTACTTGAGTCTGTTGGCCTCCAGCACTTTTGCTGTCTCAGCGTATATCCTAATCCTGGCCGGCAGCCTGGTGGTGGTTACAGGCTTCTTGGGCTGCTGTGCTGTCATCCGGGAGCAGAAAAGCTGTCTGTCTATGGTGAGATGGGGACCCTTGGAGGGGGTTCAGACTGAGGTGGTTGTAAAGGTGTGGGGTAGATGGTGTACAATCTATATGATGTCAGAATATGAAATTTGCTAATTTATAGTCCTAATTATTTTACTTTTTCACATTTTTTGATGCCTTGACAGCAATGGAAGGATGCAGGTTTACTGGGTAGCTCTAAGGTGTGTGTGAGTGAAACTAAGGGTCCTTACACACCTGCCCTGTTTGCAATGGCGGTTTTAGGGGAGGACCAGCAGGGGCCAGTGCACCTGTAACTCGGAGTCTGGCCCCCCCTGTGGCCCCCTCTGCCGAAGAGTCGGAGGGGCAACGTGGAACGTGGAACTAAATCGTCTCAACCAGTTGCCGGTAGGACCACTTAAAGTGGCACACCCACCGAAAACATCAGTAGAGAATAGTGTGGCTGTATTTAAGACAACTCTTAACCTGCACGGCAACACACAGCACCATTGAAGTAAGCTCTGAAAACTTTCTCGTTCTCATTTGGCTCATGGTAGTTGCATGTCACATCATGTTGATGTAGCGATGTGAAATACGATCTGGAGTTTTCATGGGTGTTTTATTGTGAAAATTGACCGGATACTCTCGTCTTTTCTGCACCTGACTTCCTGTTTGACTCATCTGGTCTGTGCAAATTGACGTGCCATCGCGCGGCGTCCATCAGAAATAGACCCGGCGCGTGTTTTTGGCGGAGCGGAGTGCCGGGCTGCTTCTAGGCTGCGGCTGGTGGAGCAACTTATATTGACTTGAATGGCTGCTATTAGCTCCGGCATCTGTGCCTCGGCCTCGACCGGATTGCGCACGCCACGGTTCCAGTGGGTTGCCTGTCCCAGAGGTATTCAACTACCAGAGGGCTTTTGAAATCTTCTTTTCGAAGCCGTGTAAAATTAAATGCTCTGATTCAGGGTGCCATACTTGCAAATCGTGAGGGAGGGAAGAAGGAAAGCAGTAATTTGTGTCTGTTTGTGTGTAATTAAAGTCTTAAATTTTGTTTTCTTTTCGTATTGCATATTTTCTATTGTTTTGCGTATCTGTAACTGTGTTTGTGAGTGAGAGAATTTTAAAAGAATATTTTGTCTGCACATGATTTAAAATAATAAAATAGCCCTCCATCAGTACGTTAGTCATTTTTCTTTTGATTACTGAAATGTTTAACCACTAATCCTTAGCCGTATTTTAAGCGTAACCCTTCACCATAACATACCGCTAGTGTTTTTATCAGTAAAAATAGAACATTTTTCACACATAAAAAGCACAAATACATTGAAATCTAGGCATATTCTGCCATCATAACTTGGCTCTCAGAATTCACCTGATTGATGCCTTTAAATCAAATAGATACAAAATTTTCTCCCGGGGGAGCAGTCACACTCTGGTGTGCACCAAAACAACCAGACTGAGACCTTCTTGAAGAGGTGGTCTCAGTCCGGTTACAAATGAACTCCGGTTCGGTTCGTTTGTGGTGAGAACATGTTCTGACCTGGATCCGAACCAACTGCAGTCACATGACACATTGTTTGGGTTAAACATAAGCATGTTACAGTCCTGGAGGATTATTAATGTGCACCTCCTCCTGTACTGCCTTAATATGCACATTCAGCACATCCAATGCATCAAAACATTGTTTTCTAGTTGGAGCCGCGCCTCGTTTTCAAACTGTATGGTTTGACTAAAATGAACAATGACAGCAATATAGTCCACGATGAGCAGCGCTAAAATCAACCTGCGTAGTTGTCCCTCCATTGTGACATTAGAAAGTGTCACATTTATCTTGCAAGTGTACTCTTCTTCAACGTTTGCTTTACTTCCTGGATTTTTCCCACATGGAAATTCTGACCAATCAAGAGCAGCTTTCTCACACAAGGCATTTGATCTGGTCCGCTTGTAAATGCTGCCGTGAGAACACGAACCAACTCCAGGCAATTATGCACCTTTATAACAGAATTAGTCCCTGATTCAGACCAAAGCAAGACAACTCTAGGTCTGAAAGCACCCAAAGACAACACTGTGTTTTCAATTTGAAACAAGGACTTTACATTTCTAACATGTGAGGAATCCATCCGATCGTAGGAGAGCCAGATCATTCAGACAATTAATCAGGCATTGGGAACTTCCCTCAATTTAGCTTTAGTGACATTGCCTTATTCACTGTTATTTTGCATTTAACCAAATGAAAAACTTCCATTTACTTTCTCTATGTCTTAATTCTATACTACTTCGCAGTGCTTTACAGTGTACACTACATGTTTGGGGTAGCTAGTTTATAGAAAATGAAAACTGAAAACTAGTAATAAGAAATGATACACGATGTTGTGCCAGTGTACGTCAGTCACATCAGTCACACTGCAACCTTGGAACGCCACCTTCATATGTAAACAGCTTCCCTTTTTTCTGCGTTGCCTGGAGGGACAACAATCGACAGCACACTCAAAAAATCAAGCAGATTTATTATGCGTCCTGGCAGCTTTTAGTATATTGAATTTCATCACTTTTTCAGTGTGAGAACATCGGATACACATCGAGTAGAATTACGAGGTAACTGGGATACAGGATGATGTAAAACATACTACCACCCTAAATCCTAGCACTGGTAGAAGCTTTTAAATCAAGGCATATGTATAAAGCTGAATTCATTTGAGGAAAACAATGATCAAACTTCTGTTGCTTATGTTTAACATTTGAATTACTGTCTCATAAGTTGCGTAACTTGAGTGATCAAGTGGGCAAAAATGTTGAAGGTCCAGGGTTCTGTTAGTGGTCCCACATTGTCATGTCTACATCGAGAAGCTAGATGCTCGCCCACGTGTTCGCAAAGGTTGCTTGTTTCTCTGCAACAAATGTTTAACAACATGGAAGTCATCTGTTCTCTCGCTGGTCTGAGGTCTCCAGATGCAGACAAATGGCTCTGACAGGGACCTTACTGTCCTCATTATTTTACAGAGGCAGGGCCCAGTGGGAGAGAGGCAGGCGGGAGGTTAACGTTCACTGCCGCAGGGCTATTTATAGGTCCATCTATCTACTGTTGATGGATGGAGCAATAGGAGAGACAAAGGGGCTTGCAGGAGTGAAGAGGTGTGGAGGATTTGGAGTCCGTGTTGCATTTTGTCTGTGTCGAATACCAACTATATTGTGCTCGCTAATTTTGGGAGATTAACAAGTGATGCCAGCATGTGTGTGTGAAGAAGGAGTGAAGGTAGCATTTTGTGTGGATAGCAGGCGCGCTGGGACTGAAGTGTTTTTTGAAATCTTGTAACCAAGAGCTACTGAGCAGGCTGCATGACATAGTTACTGCAACAGAAGAGATCATTTGCTAAAGTGTGTGTGTATTAATTCAGTGAGATTATTGCTCTCCTGTGACTGTTTGACCAGTAGTTTGCCATCACTTTGCCTCTAGAGTCACACAGGCTGTTTAGTAGCATCTGTCTCTCCATAATGGGCTCGAGTGAAGCAGCGCTGTTGCTGCTGTCACACTGTTGTGTCCCGCACTGCGACAGGTGCGCCTAATTAGCTGTATGTGTTCGTATTACATGGCACGGACCATGATTGTATGGGTTATATGAACCTTTTTTAACAGTCGAAAGTTTGTTTTTTTAGCCTGAGAAAACTGTAGTTTTAATCTTGCTCATTCTGCAACTGTCTGTGAGAGCACCCTAAATGTGTGGGCGATCTGTTCGCTACACAGTTTATATAACTATGCTCTGTTTTTCAGTACTTACAATAGAGCTTATCATGAAGGATAAAGCTCACAGTATGAGCCACCAGGGTTTATTTTTCATTGACATTTTAGTTTTTAGCTGCAGAGGCACTGATCTTTAGTTGTAGTGAAAGGGATGGTTTGGATTTTACGATGTGGGGCTGCATGAGGTGCTTTTCCTCAGGGTGCTTTCAGACATAGGGTTGTCTTGCTTTGGTATGAATCAGGGACTAATTTTGTTGCATGGTTGCCTAGAGTTGGTTTGTGTTATCACGGCAGCATTTACAAGCGGACCAGATAAAATGCCTTTTCTTTTACTTTTCTAAAGATTTCTAAGATGGTGCGTGCTTGTAGCCTGGAAATCCAGACTCAGATCTAGAAAGATTTTGAGTCTGGCCCTCACCGATACACCATTCCTACCCAAGGGGCGGCACTAACTGAGGCATTTCAAATGCCGCTGCAATTGAATAGCACAATGGCCAATCAAAGCAAAAAACAAAGTGATGTATTTATTGCACTAAGCCCCATTTGTTTGCTGAACAGTGGGGCTAACTGATATATTATGTTTTTGCCGTATCCCGTCTACAAAACAGCAAAAATGCCCTTCCTGGAAACGAAGGCTTCTAGGGCAGTCTTCTGTTCCTCTCTTAAGGAAAAAGATAGGTGTAGTTGGCTTAGCGTTTCTTCCAAAGCTAAAATGAATGGACACGGTCCTTCGGCAGCTGCCATCTTGGCTGTTTACTTTTCGACTTCTACGGCCCAGCGCTGTCCTCATCATGTTACGCCTGCCCAGAGCCTGCCTCCATCAGACAGACTGATCTGATTGGTCTGATGGCGATTGACCGGGCTCTGCTTGTCGGGCTTGTCGGGGACTCCATAGTCTTTCAAAACTATGGAGTTTACTGTGTACTTCAGAAAAGAAACTGAGAAGAGAAGCAGCGGTACCTTGGAGAACGGTCCCTAACGGCGGGGAGAGGCGAGAGGGCTTCCCTGGAGGTCGGCCGCTTAACCTGGTCTGTCTCCTCCACACTTTGACTTATTTCCACCCTGCCGACAGCGGTACAGTGGAGAACGGTCCCTAACTGCGGGGAGAGGGCTTCCCCGGAGAATCTACCAAGATCATGTTTTATTTGTGAATAGAAGATTACAGGTTAGGGTAGTAGGACGCAGTTTTTTTGAGCGGAGTAGTGAGCGAGTCGAGCGGGATAAAATTTATGATGGAGTGGAGCGAAGAATGCGCAGAACCAAGTGGAGCGGACGAGCGGCGCAAAGTGACAGGTCTGCGAGCGAGGAGCGGAAATTTTCACCCGGTCCGCTCCGCTCACATGCTCTGGTTGTTGCCAATGTCGCTCATGGCAACAGTGCCTCTCTTGGTCCGTGCACATGGGTTTACAATTCATGAAGTTAGCTTGTGCTCTTTCTGGGCCTCCAGTTTCCACAGATCACAGTATCCTTTTGTCTGCGGTTAATGGCATGTCGTTATCCTGTCCTCATCACTCAGTTTTTTTGTTATTTTCTTGTATTTGCTGTCTTTTACATAAACCGCTGAGCAGCTGTTTGACCCAAACAGCTGACCTGTGCAGCACAGTTGCCCCCCCCCACTTTGTTGATTAGACTTTGAAGTAGAACAACATTTCCAGGATCATTGCACATGTAAGTCGATTGGCAAAAATGTAAAAATACAACATTAACAGCAACAATACAACATGTATGTATATAAACTATATATGTACCTACAAGATAAATAAAAAACTAACAAAACAGGCGTGATAGCACAAAAAAACATTTTAAAACAGGAGCTTACAGGTCAGCTAGATCAAAAACAGTCCTTAGTCCGCCTGGACATTTACATAGGAGAAGAAGGGTGTCCATGTTACAGAGAATGTGTTATAAATCCTTTGAGAGTCCGTCTGATTCTTTTCCAGTTTTATGCAGTTTAAAAGAGCTTAAATCCAAAGAGTAAGTTAAGGAGGCACAAGGGACTTTCACTGGAGCAAAATTAAACATCTCGCCAGCAGAGTGACAAAGGCAATTACGTCTTTTTATAGGGCTGTAGTCAACCAAAGAAAATCTTGGTCGACTAAAGTCGCACATAATTGTCATCGATTAGTCGTGAAAAAAATAAAATAAATCAGCACTTTATTTTTTACATCTGCGGTGGTGTGTCTGTGTCACTCTGCAGTTACGCCTCCAAAACACTAGTTGGCAGTGGAGGACTGTGTTAAGTGCTGTAAACTTTAGTTCAAATCAAACTTTATTTATATACTTGATTCAAAACACACATTAAACATGGCTTAATAGAGACAATTTCAAACACAAGTATGCAAATTGGCTTCACTATAACTCGCAGCATTCACAGACAAACACTTTATCTGGACACATTTCCCCCACCAATACAACATGCTAACGTTATTAGCACAAGTCTATGGCGTTTTACATTGTATCAATTAGCCTAGCGTCTAGCGATCTTTCCCTCTTCTCAGGGACAGCCAGGGACAACAGCAACATGTAACAAAGGTAACAGTACATAATTTGGCTCCATTACAACTCACAAGGTTCACTGACAAAACAACTGTCTTATACTAAACACGTTTTCCAAGCAAATACAACATGCTAACGTTATTAGCACAAGCCTATAGCATTTTACATTATATAAATTAGCCTAGCGACAAGCAGAGATTTCCTCTGCTCATATGAAGCCAGGATAAATCCCTGAGTATAAATCCCTGAAGGATAAATCACACACAAGACTTAAAATGCTATTTTAGTGGAGGCTTTACTGTCTTCACAATTTATTGTTTCTTATCTGTGAAATACAAGTAAATACAAGCTTTGTTTCCACTGAGGGAAATGGTGTCAGTAATGGGCGAGTTCAACTTTCTGTCAACAACAGGGGTGTTTTGAAAACACCCCCATTTTCACAGGTAACTTAGCCGCAGGAAATAATGGATTAATCCTGGAAAGCTGTTGATGTAGCACTTTTCTCCTTATGAAGGTAACACGGCGATTATTCGACTCATGAGAATTTGGTCAGACGAAAGCATAGCGACCAAATAATCGACTAGGAGACTACAGCCCTACTTTTTTTGTTGTTTTAGCCAGTTGCAATGTAGGTGGAGTGACCCCAAATAGTGCAGTAACAGAATATGGTTCAATCCATGTGCTAATGATTTGTGAAATTGTGTCTGAGATATCTTTCCAAAAGTTAGCAAGTGATGAGCAGCACAAACATGTGGACATAAGTTGCAGGGGTTTGATTACATCCTGCATAACTGGATCCTGATAGATTTTGGATAGTGTTGCTTTGGTTCAGTGTGTCAGAAGTCCAAAAGCACAGATAGAGGAAGCGCATACCCACATGAGCGCCTCTTCCAATTGCTCTCCAATTGTTTCCTCTCCCAGTTAATCCTCCAATGAGGACTTAATGTCGTTTAGTGAGGTAGGTTGTAGAAAACAAATTTGTCTGCAGAATGACAGGGTGCCTTTCAAATTAGGAAGTGGGGCAAGACGAGTGTCGAACTGTGTCTCATCTGGAAGAGTGGGGCATTGGGGATCTATACTACGGATGCAACTACAGATTTGTAAAGCAAATGTATGCAGTTGCAAATGTATTGTTGATATACAGGTCTCTAAACCTTCTGATGCCAGGAGTAGACCACAGTGGGCTTTATTTTGCGCAATAATACGGAAGTACTATGGTTGAGAAAATATAGTGCCAAGTGCGAAGTGGCTTAAATATGTTTTCCTGCTAACCCCCTGTCAACAGAGGTGCATTGCTTAGCTCCCATGGTGTCACTCCTGCTTTAGTGTCGACTGCCATCTACTGTAGCTAATACACCGACGATGATTAAGTACCTAGTAGAACCTCACTTAACAAAATCCAAACTATCCCTTTAACCACATGAATCTGATGTCTGATCCATTAATTCCTTGTTTTCCCGAGGAATACACATTAATGTTTATTATACTGATGATTAATATTTAAATCAACTTAATGTAGTTTTTGCTAAAAGAGTGTTTTGAAGTTAATTATGACACATAATGAAACTGGCTTCGAGCAGCACAAGGGGCTCTTTAAAAGATGCCCGAGAGAAATCAGATCCTACAGCCTGTCAGATTGATTTCTGCTTCGTCTCTTTTTGTGCATCGTTGCCATCTGTGTTACAAGTGACAGACGCAGCACAATGACAGCTGATGGAAGTTTTTATTGAGCAACTTTCTCAGATGAGTTAGCTGCTCTGATGTTGATGAAGCTGAAATGCCTGGATGAAGGTGAAGCCTTTTGTCTTCTTTATTGCATTGCTTGGTCCTGTAATCTCTCTCTGTCCTGTTTCTCATTCACAGTATTTCTTCTGCCTGTTGTTGATCTTCTTGATTGAACTGGTGGCTGGAGTACTGGCTTATGTCTATTACCAGAGGGTAAGTGAAAATAATTTTGGTAGCGGATGTTTTGGGTGGGTGTTTTCCTGAGAGAATGTTTAAATTGCTATTTAGGTTTGAGTGTTACAGATTGTGTCGGCCCTCTGGGTGTGTGTTGAAGAGCAGCACAGTCAAAGCTCAGCAGTGAAAGCCCTTAAACTGTGTTGTAAAACAGAGACTTAAATCCTACTGAGAGTTTTTTCTCCTTCAGGTGGGTGTTAACGTACTTTTTGATTACCATCTCATAATCGTCTGATTTTTGATGAGTGAGTTTAGAAACTGAGCAGTTGCTATGCCACAGACTCCAGGGCATCATCTAGGGATGCACTGATTCTGATTCTGGGCCAGTACGAATGTTTTAAATAACAATCTGGCAAATAGCCGATAGCTGCGAACCCATACTGATGTTTTTTTTGTTGTTGTTTATTTTGTTTTTGTTATTATTTATTCCCCCTTTTGTGCCAGGGAAACAAAGAAATCTTCATTATGAAAAATTAACCTTTGAATGAACACAAATTCAACCATACAAATTTACGAAGCAGCTTTTAGTAAAACCTTCTTGCATGTGAAAAACATCTAAAACACTGCTTCAGAAGCCTTTTTACTACATGTAATATAACTATGTTCCCTCTCTAATATGTAGGGATGCACTATAAAATCGACCTGGTCCTAAAATGAACGGAACCGGCCAACAAACTGATAATATCAGTACATCATCCGTATTGGCCAGGATTGGCTTTAAAATGAGCTTTTCCTTATTTTGCACAATCAATGAATATTACATACACTGAAAAGCATTTTATTTCATGTCACCATCTGCTGGTGGGCCATCAAGATAAGAGTATTCATGCATGATATAATGTTAATCCCACTACAGAGGGCCAAATAAGTTGTTATATATTGGCATATCGGATATATGCAAAATTCCAATATCGTGCATCCTTGCTAGTATCTGTTCTGTATTGCTATGAAGACATCAACAAATTTCTCCTCCAAACAGCAGAGCTTGAAAACATCATAATGTAATTCAGTCCAACAGCCGTGAGCTGATAGTTCCGGCTACTGGCTGCTAACAGCCAACGGTTACTAGCTTTTCTCCCGCTGTTGTCAACAAGGATTTGTTGTTGACAATGTAGCATAATCGGGAAAAAAATTAGGGCTGCCCCCGACTAAGAATTTTCCTAGTCGACCAATAGTTGTCATTTAGGGTCATTTGTCGACTAGCTGCCCGCATGTTTACGATATAAATTAAATTATTAAATGATATATTTTGGGCGGGGCAACACAATGGTTTGAGTTGAAGGTGTGAGAAAGAATAGCATCAGTAACATTGTTAACACTGTGCTACATTACAGAGAAATACAAAACCGTACTAATGAACCTTAATTAATATAGGCCTATATTTTATCTACAAGTGCATGTCACACACTGAGCGAGCCGCCTGTTAATGACGCTGTCGGCAAAGCAGTGCTAAGTGGCTAATGGCAGGGCTGGACAGTGCGACATATATGTCACACATGCGATGAAATAAATGTTTGTGCAATGAATTTATTTGCCTAGTAGCACCTAAGAGTGAGAGACTGACAGTCTATTTTTTTGTATGTATAAGGTCTTTATTTATTTATTTCAATATTTTTACGTGTTATTTCGGATATTTAAATTTTCTTTTTTTGCATTTGTAAATAATCTTGTTAAATAAATGTTTATTTCTCTTTAAAAGGGTGTACTTGCATCATTATGTCTTTATTATCATTATATAAGTTTAAAAAATGGTCTAAAAACAGCAAAATTACAACAATAATAAAAATGGTCTTAAAAGCACAATATTAAGCAACATTATTGCTTATCACAATAATTTCTGACGCAATTAATCACCCAGCAACATTTGTTATCGTGACAGGTGCTACAAACTTTCTGGCCTGTGCTACAAAATTATCACCCTCTGTAGCACCAGTGCTATGGGCTAAAAAAGTTAACGTACAGCCCTTCTAATGGGCATGTAGCTACTTCCATGTTTCAGATGATACGTCATGTTTGTAGTTGACCAATGAAGATGAGTTTACATATCACCTTGGGTTCGTCCTTCACCTTCTCAAAATGATCCCACACTTTGGATTTCCTGCCTGACATGTTATTAACTAGCCTGTGGAATAACCGCAGGTACCAGCCCTGGAAATTAACCTGACTCCTGTCTGACTGCTGAGTGTGGCCTCTTCCTGTGTCTGTCCTTTCAAAATAAATTCCCACATGGTCCAGTCATATAGGTTTTGATTTATTTTATGTATGAATGGATTTATTCTTGGCTCATGTGGCACCCCCACCAGTGATTTTAGTGCAATGAAGTGAGTTTATTTCTCTAACTTTCTCTAACTTGGCCATGCTTTTTAGCTCTTTTTACTTCTGTGCGTGTATTTGAGTCGTTAGTTTGAGCACGAGGCTCAGTGCAGGTGGCAGAGTCTGGAATCTATCTGGCACACAGTTTCAAGGACCTTCTTATCTCACAAACATCTGCCTGTCAGTCAGCGAGGGCTGCAAAGAGCACCATGCTATCTGCAGGCAAGCTCAGAGATTTATTATAATGGAGAGGGATTCAGCACAGGATAGAATCACTTTAAAGATAAGGGCTCTCATCCTCTCTCCCTGTTTCTTCTCGCTCCTGTGTGTGTGTGAGAGAGCATGGATGCACACAAACATATCCACACATCAAAGGCTGTATTAAAAGTCTATTTTTTCATCTGTCTTTTCTGTCGCAGATGCATGGGAGTTGCTACCTGTCTATCTTGTCCTAATCCACCCACTCTTTCACTTTTGTCAGGCTTATCACTTCACCACACTCTCACCTTTGTAGTCTCTGCTCCTGCACTTGATGCGTTCCATGTGTAACAAATGAAGCAGCTCGTGGTTACAAAATAAATTTAGGTCTTTGCCATGAATACTCCGCCTCCTTCTGTGGCTCACACACACTGTTTCTCACTGTTTGTGTCTGTTGTCTCTTGTCTTTTTGTTCCTCATTTCCAGCTGAGTGAGGAGCTGAAGCAGCATCTCAACCAGACGATGACAGATAACTAAGCCCAGCCCGGGAGGGAGGCCATCACATTAGCTGTGGACAGACTACAACAGGATGTACGGACTGTATTTACAAAGGCCTCTGAGGCTTTGTTTGGTTTATGTAAGATCACGTGCTGCACTTTTTGTCAGCTAGCATGGTCAAGTGTAGTCGCACTTTGTCATGGATTCAGTTTAAATGACTCCACCATACAGGAAGTAGTTTTGAATTATGCTGAGATTCAGTAGGAGAAATTGCTCATAGCTCTGTTATCCATTGGGATTTGCTCCAAATATTGTTCCAAAAATGAGAAGTGAAATAAAGTCATTTTGTCCAAGTCCCTGAGAGGAAAGGGAACAACTCCCTTCATTCGCAAGTGTTGTCAAAAAGTTATGGAACAATGGTTTGAGCCACATAAATCAATTTAAGTTAAACTTTAAGATGAGTGATGTGTGCTTTTCTAACAGTGTGTGACATTGTGAAGCCAAACTAGGGCTGTACCAGATATTTAGGAGTGTAAAGCTTTAAGCCAAAGATGTGCGACAACACGAAACCAGTTTAGAATGTTGCAGAAAAAAGTTGCGGCGGTGTGAGCTGACCAGTCTGAGCTCAGCTCAAATCCGCTGATGGAGTCACCTGCAACTTGGCTGGTCAAATAGCCAGTGGCTGGTTTTAGAATTTTTAGCCGACACCTGTTTCAACAGCCAATCACCTTGAAGTCAAGACAAAATTACTACAGACGGTGTGTTTGCTTGTGCTCCGTCCCTGCCAAGCCCTCTGTTTCCATCCTCATGGTGTCAGACAGTGGGATGCTACTCGCTGTATGTTGCGTATCAACAGGGCGCTTCAGCAGTAATCTAAGGGTGCTTTCACACCTGCCCTGTTTGGTTTGGTTTGGTTCAACTGAACTCAAATTCATTTGACCCCTAAGTGCGGTTCGTTTGGGCAGGTGTGAACACAGCAATCACACTCAGGTGTGCACCGTAACAACCAGACTGAGACCTTCTTGAAGAGGTGGTCTCAGTCTGGTTACAAACGAACTCTGGTGTGGTTCGTTTGTGGTGAGAACGTGTTCCGACCTGGATCTGAACCAACTGCAGTCACATGACACATTGTTTGGGTTAAACATGAGCATGTTACAGTCCTGAAGGATTATTAATGTGCACCTCCTCCTGTACTGCCATAATATGCACATTCAGCACATCCAGTGCATCAAAACATTGTTTTCTAGTTGGAGCCGCGCCTCGTTGTCGAACATGAACCAACTCTAGGCAGTTATGCAACTTGTAACGAAATTAGTCCCTGATTTGAACCAAAGCAAGCAAAGTCTAGGTCTGAAGGCACCCTAACGCACCACAGAATACACTTATTCATTAGAGATAGTTCATTTAAAGCCAAGTCATGCAATCTGATAAATTGCTTTATTCAAATTAAGGATTTTGTGTCAGGAGTATTTATTTATTTATTTTTTAGGGTAAAATATGACGACATCCATTCAGAGCTTAATTCGAAAACCTCAATTAAATCTTTGAATGTAATAAAATTACATTTGATGCGGTCATGAACCCAACCCAACGCTTTCCTCTTTCCGCCTCTCCAGTTCAAGTGCTGCGGCAGCAACAACTCTCATGATTGGACGATGAGTGTGTACATTTCATCGAAGCAGGCAGACGGCAGGTTGGTGCCTGACAGCTGCTGCAAGACCATCACCCCTCACTGTGGCAAGAGAGACCACCCCTCCAACATCTACAAGGTGGAGGTCAGTGGGCACACACTTCTGGAAAATGATGGACACCATATTCAGTCAAACTCTTGAATACAGAGCTGTAATGTTGCATTTAAGGAATCTTCTATTGACTAATGTGCACATAGCTTGCAGCTATAAGACAATATCACTGGAGTACTTTTTATATTTTCCCGTGTCCCAATTTTATCCCTCTTGAACTGAAATAGTGACAGAAACAGAGACAACACTGTAGTTTGAAGCGCTCTGTGGGAATGAATAAAAGATGAGGTTTTGAATGCTTATCCATGCTGATCAGGTGAAGTTTTTTCCACCATCTGGTGTCAAACCCTTTAGTTCCTGCTCTTGGTGCTCACAGTACAATCATGTGCAAAGGCATAAAATGTGAACATACCCCCAAAATAAACCCAAACACGTCTACATGATATCACATGCTATATTTTTTGTCACAATTCTTAAAGCAAAACAACTTTTGGGAAGATGGGTGAAAGTGGTCTGAGAATGTATCTCAGTCCCTCTCCAGACACATTTTAAATACTTGTGCCAATACCAATATTAGGTTTAACACGGTTTTCCCATAATAGTTGATTATCTTCTCCTCTTCCTCATTCAGAAATATGCTCGTGGTTGGTTTTGCTTTCCGATTTCTCCAGCGCTGCTCGCACTAGGTTGACTGGGAAAAGAGCAATGTGCATGAAAATGGTTGGTGTTAGCGTTTGAGGAAACATCGGAGGGATCTAGTCCTACGTTTTTGAGCCTCAGTCAGACTCAGAGAAGGCATCTGTTGTTCAACAAAATCTGCACCTAGCAGACTTGTCAGAATGTTAAGTGTCGTTAGCATCTTTTATTCATGTTGTTCGTTAGCTTGTGGGCTAACTGGCCCTTGCAATTAATGGTTGTGAAACATATAATATCATCTGCTCCAGTGGGGTTTTCTGTACATAGTGGGAGGAAGCTCCAGGGTCCGGTTTACATCCAAAAACGACGCTCTACCATTTTTGCTGTCAAAACTTTAACTATGCTAATGCTAACTCTGCTCTGTACTGTAGGGCTGCAACGATTAATCGACTAATTGATGACTAGTCGACTATTAAAATAATCAGTGGCTATTTTAGTAGTTGGCTAATCGGTTTGAGTCATTTTTCATAGAAAAGTACTACAGAATACTCTTATTGCAGCTTCTTACGTTCATATATTGGCAGCTTTACACACTCTCCCATGAAGGTGAACTAAAACCCTTTGGCGTGAGTACGAAACAAGACATTAGATAACATAATTTTGGGGTTTGGGAGAAACAGACCGACATTTTTCAACATTTTAACACATTTTTCGATAAAATGATTAGTCGACTAATCGAAGAAATAATCGACAGATTAGACGACAGTGAAAATAATCGTTAGTTGCAGCCCCACTGTACTGACAAGTCGCTCTGCGCTGGAGGTTTCAGGTTTCTTTGCCGGTGTTGTGTTCCCCCGTTGATACATGTTTCCCATACTGGACTGCAACTGGTTTTTGTATTAGTGACGCACCGACACAGACGTCGCCCCCTTCAGTAGCGGAATGTAAAAACACCTCTGTAGTGATAAACTTTGCACTGATACAAGTTAGTAACGTCAAGGTCAGACATTTTAGGGGACATGAACAGAAGTATCTTTGTAAGGAGTGGCTGGATGTTTTCTCGTTAGCTCCAACACTTTGGAAGCTAGCCATGGAGAGCGTGCTTTTAAGGGTGTGTGAGCCTGGTGGCTATCTGTGTAATGGTATGCATTATATGATTTTCCTTTCAGGGTGGTTGCATCACTAAGCTGGAGCAGTTTCTGGCCGACCACCTGCTGGTCATCGGCGCCGTGGGGATAGGAGTGGCTTGTCTGCAGGTAAATAAAATCCAGATAGTTGTTGGAGAAGCAGAATGCTACTTTGCAGTCCTCATCCCGAATAAACGGTGCGTCATACTGGCCCAGTAGTTATTTTGGTAGAAATTTGATACTGCTTTTACCTTTGCATATGAATGCTGCCGTTTGTCGAGTAAACCCAGACAGATGGGTTTTAATTTTTCCATTACTGAAAATGTACCTATGAAGGTCAACAACCTCTTAATGGAAACTTCCTTTCATCTCACTCTAGTCCCTCAGTCATCATTATCTGATTATTTGATTTGTCCCAGCCTGAGATGGATTTGAGCTTTTAAGGCTTCCAGAGGCCACCCAGGCAAACAGGGGTACCTTTTTATAATTCTGTGCTGGCTGACAGTCCTCTTGTGGCTCTGCTCCCCGTCTCCTTGTAAATTAACTTCAGAGAAACTTGAGACCAAATAAACCTGCCCTGATTCTTTCGAGCGGTGTTCATATAACAGATATGCCCTTTAATGTCCATGAGCATTTTACATACGGTTCCGGCTGAACAGTTTTAATCAGGAACATGGGAACTGAGAATGAGGCCAGACGTTCTCTACTGTTACAGTCGAGGCTTGCAACAGCAAAAGCTGAGAGATCACCTGTCTGTGACGGAGAAATTTAAAAATATAGCTTTCCATTAACTATTGCTGTAATGTGAAGATCATTTGTCATCCCTAAATGATCTGAATGGATCATCCTTAACATACAGATGAGGTGCTGAATATATAAAACATACCTGGAGGAGAAAATGTGCAATGCGAGCCTGTGTAGTGTGATTTTAAGGAACAGTGTGTCAGATTTGAAAAGATTTAGTGTCATCTAGTGGTGAGGATTGCAGATTACAACCAGCTGAAACTTCTCCTGGTCAAAATTCCTTCAGTGTTCATTGTTCAGGATGTTTTTACTGGGAGCTGAATCCGCAGTGGTATCTTCCTCTCCTAAACAAACAGATTAAGTGATTTAAACAGGTAAAACACTGAATAAATCAGTTTAATGCTGCAAATCAGTGTTTTAATACTGCTGTTTAAAATGTTAGAGAAAGGCCGTTAGCCCAGCACCTGCTAATGTGTGCTCACCGTTTTTCTCTTATAACTTTGAAATACAGACGATAAGGAGGTTTTTACTGGGAGCTGAATTATCCACAGGGGTCTCTTTCTCATCAAAACAAATGGACCTGCTGATTTAAAGTGGTACAAACACTCAATAAAACTGTTTCACATCAAAATATTAGCGTTTTTCTGATGTCCTTGTTGCGGAGGAGCTCCTAATTGCGGTGGACGACGCGAAACACGAATGGTGAAAGAAGGAGCCAGTGTTTGATTTGTATTTTCTGGGCTGCTGTAGAAACACAACGGTGCATGGTGATCTCCTTAGATGAGGACCTGCTCCAAATGTAGATTTAAATGGCTCATTCGAAGGTGTCGAAAACACGATGATTCCTATTTTCAGCGGTTTAAATACCAAAAAAATGCTTATTGAATTTCACATTTTATTCTGCTAATAAATCCCGCTAAATCCTAAACACTGAACCTTTAACATGTTTCAGTTCAAACTTATGTTTCGTATCCTTTTGTACTGAAGACCTACTGTACGTCACGTCTTTGTCCACTGCTCCAGTCTGTCTCAATGTTGGGTCACGTCTGTCTCTAGTAACTGTCTGATATAATGTAGATCTGTAAAAACTCATGTTAATTCACACTAGCTGTAGTTTTGTCACCATACATGTGTGTCTTGTTACCAAGCTAACCTGTCTGTGGTGAACTGTACTGTATGTCCCTCTGTTTATGTCTGTGTGTGTGTGGTGTGTTAATCTAGCTGGCGGGGGCAGTCTTGACAGCCTGCTTTATCTATCTGCTCTATAAAGAAGAAGAGGAGGACTTCGGTACATTGTGATTTAGCTCTAGAGCAGAGTTGTGGTTTAATCAACTGGAGAGAAAAGGTTGGAAGGCACTGTGGAAATCTGACATCTGACTGCATGCTCGTCCTTGTGTGATTGTCCGCTCTGTGTTTAATCTGTGGGCTACATGTACAGTACAGGCCAAAGGTTTGGACACACCTTCTCATTCAATGCGTTTTCTTTATTTTCATGACTATTTACAGTGTAGATTCTCACTGAAGGCATCAAAACTATGAATGAACACGTGGAGTTATGTACTTAACAAAAAAAGGTGAAATAACTGAAAACATGTTTTATATTCTAGTTTCTTCAAAATAGCCACCCTTTGCTCTGATTACTGTTTTGCACACTCTTGGCATTCTCTCCATGAGCTTCAAGAGGTAGTAACCTGAAATGGTTTCCACTTCACAGGTGTGCCTTATCAGGGTTAATTAGTGGAATTTCTTGCTTTATCAATGGGGTTGGGACCATCAGTTGTGTTGTGCAGAAGTCAGGTTAATACACAGCCGACAGCCCTATTGGACAACTGTTAAAATTCATATTATGGCAAGAACCAATCAGCTAACTAAAGAAAAACGAGTGGCCATCATTACTTTAAGAAATGAAGGTCAGTCAGTCCGGAAAATTGCAAAAACTTTAAATGTGTCCCCAAGTGGAGTGGCAAAAACCATCAAGCGCTACAACGAAACTGGCACACATGAGGACCGACCCAGGAAAGGAAGACCAAGAGTCACCTCTGCTTCTGAGGATAAGTTCATCCGAGTCACCAGCCTCAGAAATCGCAAGTTAACAGCAGCTCAGATCAGAGATCAGATGAATGCCACACAGAGTTCTAGCAGCAGACCCATCTCTAGAACAACTGTTAAGAGGAGACTGCGCCAATCAGGCCTTCATGGTCAAATAGCTGCTAGGAAACCACTGCTAAGGAGAGGCAACAAGCAGAAGAGATTTGTTTGGGCCAAGAAACACAAGGAATGGACATTAGACCAGTGGAAATCTGTGCTTTGGTCTGATGAGTCCAAATTTGAGATCTTTGGTTCCAACCGCCGTGTCTTTGTGAGACGCAGAAAAGGTGAACGGATGGATTCCACATGCCTGGTTCCCACTGTGAAGCATGGAGGAGGAGGTGTGATGGTGTGGGGGTGTTTTGCTGGTGACACTGTTGGGGATTTATTCAAAATTGAAGGCACACTGAACCAGCATGGCTACCACAGCATCCTGCAGCGACATGCCATCCCATCCGGTTTGCGTTTAGTTGGACGATCATTTATTTTTCAACAGGACAATGACCCCAAACACACCTCCAGGCTGTGTAAGGGCTATTTGACCAAGAAGGAGAGTGATGGAGTGCGGCGGCAGATGACCTGGCCTCCACAGTCACCAGACCTGAACCCAATCGAGATGGTTTGGGGTGAGCTGGACCGCAGAGTGAAGGCAAAGGGGCCAACAAGTGCTAAACACCTCTGGGAACTCCTTCAAGACTGTTGGAAAACCATTTCAGGTGACTACCTCTTGAAGCTCATGGAGAGAATGCCAAGAGTGTGCAAAGCAGTAATCAGAGCAAAGGGTGGCTATTTTGAAGAAACTAGAATATAAAACATGTTTTCAGTTATTTCACCTTTTTTTGTTAAGTACATAACTCCACGTGTTCATTCATAGTTTTGATGCCTTCAGTGAGAATCTACACTGTAAATAGTCATGAAAATAAAGAAAACGCATTGAATGAGAAGGTGTGTCCAAACTTTTGGCCTGTACTGTACATGCATTAAATGAACATGTGTATGTTTTGCTGAGCGTGAAGCATGCAGCTGCCTGGCTTTGGCTGAGTGTTGCTTTGCATGTTGTGATAATGGGCTGTTGTGGCTGACGTGATAAAGGTCAAACACTTCACGGGAACGGCTTGATTAATCACTGCTTCTGCACACTGATGTTGGTAGCAAGAGTCATGCTCTGCATCTTTATGCAGTGATGCCTGCTTCTATGAAGTACCTGCGCTGACAGGAAATGAATGCCGATGATAAAATGTGTATTTACAGTATAAACCAAGCTATTGCTGTTTATCTGGGGTGGCAATTTTACTTTAAACTCAGACCTTAGCATGAGACTTAACTATATTTTAAGATGGTAATTGTGGGATTTTTACCTGTATTTTCATTTATTTCTTTTTCCAGACACCTCATAGTTCATCCTCATTCAGGAGATGTTGTTGCTATAGTTACTTGCAAATCCAAAATAGACTAGGCTATTCATTGAGTTTCTTGAATCGTGATTGACTGGAACTCTGTTTGGGGTGCCAGCAGACACCTGCCATCCAAAGAGAAATAAGCGTTTCGTTTCTTTCTCGTTTTTTTTTTTACTTAGTTACATCATTGCCTTGTTGTATCAATACTCCCCTGTCTTCTGAAATTAGGCTTCAAGAAAACAAAAAAAAAAAAAAAGCAAAGAGGCTCTTTTTCTCATCGTCTCTGAGCCAAATATCCTGTTTCTACATATCCGTCACTGGTGGTGGCAGAGATGTGGAACGAAAAATAAATCAGAAACCTGCCTGAAGAGAGAATGTGATGAGTCAAAACACAACGCAGACTCGCTCGATAAGGCTTTCTCAGAGGGCTTTTAGAGACTGGAAGATTGAATATGGGCATTTGCCTGTTTATCCATCAAGCCTGGCAGGCCCAGTGGATATTGACCTCAGCCACTGGCAGGCCCAGTGGCTGAGGTCAATATCTGTTCCTGCTGTTCTCACTTTATTTTTGGACCTTTCTATAGTACAGTATAGCGTAGTACAGTGCCTCTGTAGGTCGTATCTCATGGATTCTTAAAGGTTCTGCATACATCTGTGTGCTTACCCTGGAGCTAATACATTACACATCAGATTGTGTCTCTTTGTAAACCTTATAAACCTCCAGATGAATTTGAAACAACAGTGAGCCTATTAAAATCTAGTATTAGCATGCTTCTCGGCTGATCTGATCACCCAAGAGGCAGCCAGTGGATGAATACAAGTGTAAAAAATCACCAAGAAGAATTGTGATCCAGTCACTCAAAACCCTGGTGGTCTGGGACGCATTTGACCACACGTCTTTTGTAGTGTAAAAATGAATGTGTCCTAATGCGTCCCAGACAAGGACATCAGTGCAGGACATGGTGGTTGTTTTGGTGATAGCATGCTAACTGTAGAACTCATTTGATGATCAGTTGGATGAATTGTTGCATGACCATCCATTGTATTGCCCTATACAAGGAGACATGCTGAATTCTGCTGGCAGCGATATATTCAGCTGTACAGACACAACTGCTTATGTGACAGGGATCGACTGATATGTTTTTTCAGAGCCGATGCCGATACCGATAGCCGATATTTACAGCCGATATATGTCTGCTGTAAAAATCATAGTTGACACAGAATTACAAAAATAAACACTGACAAAGAAACACCAGAGACAGGATAAAAACTAAAAAAAAAAGAACGAAATTTTAGATCTTTAAATAAATAGGAAAATAAGTTAAAAATAAACAAATAAGTAACGATGTTGAAGAATATGCCAGCTAAATAAAAACAGATGAATAAAAATAAATACACAATAATCATAAATACAAAATTTTAAAAATAAAATGAAAAACAATTAAAAAAAATAAAATAAAGGAGAGCTCAATTAAAAGCCAGGCTAAAAGGTAGGTCTTGAGTTTGCTTTGTGCAGGCAGTGAGAAGCCATCAGGGGCAAAACAACGCAGCTAAGGAAAACAAAACTGTATATAGGCATATCGATGGGGAAAAAAAAAAATTCGCCAATACCGATAACCCTAAATATGTATAATATCGGTCCCTATTACGTGATTATCCAACATGCCAGTGAGCAGCTAGTGAGAGTGTGGCCACTGAGCACCAAGAGCAACTGAGGAGGGATCCACAATGTGCCTCAGCTGTCCACATATGTTCGGATAGCCAAAACACATGTTAACACCAGGTGTAAACAGGCTCAGTGTCTGGTGATTTTACCGAATTTATACGTGACAGTTTTGCTTAATTAGACCTCATATTGGAACACCATTGTGTAAAACCAGACCCCTTCTTTCTTTCAATATTTCACAATTTCTCTTTATTATTATTTTCAATATTTTAATGAGCTTTTTAGCACACACAACACAATCACTAAATTAACACAATAACTAAATAAAATAATTTTAAAAAAATCATAAATAACAATACATAAGAAATTACGAGATTACTTATCTTTCTTACATCAACAACAGCAAAAACATGCAGTTACATGGTTGGATACTTTTCATCCCACAGTCTAGCAATTAAGCTTTTTCTGAGTTAAAAACTTTTTTGTCAGTGACATTGCAAGTTTTCTTGAAAAAGGTGAGTTTAATAAACTACAGTAGGTAACTATTTTTTTTAGCAAGTATGACAGAAAGTGACTTTTTATACTGTCATAAAATCCTGATAGTAGAATATGAGGCAGATGATCTGTTGAAAAGATATGATGCTTCTCTGTCTCCTCTTAGTGCTCCTAATGGCATTCGCAAGAGTCACAAAAACAACCAGTCAGAGCCGAGGAGTCCGTAATGCAGCTGTCAATCACATCAGTCACTTCTAGGGATGCACCGATCCGATATCTGGATCGAATATCGGCCCCGATATCATCAAAATAGATGGATCAGGTATCGGAAAATGCAACCTACACCTGAGGCAATCCTTTCTCTTTAAATCTATTGCGACGCGAGCTACGTCATATGTCATGGAGTGAAAGAAAGAATCTGCTGTGTGGAGGTATTTCACACTATTTCAACTGCTGTTGCACAATTGTTTATTTTTGTTAAAATCAATAGTTCATCTAATCTGTTTCATCTTGTTTCATTTTATCTCAGGAAAGAACTGTGTAGTCATCAATGCCCGATGCTGCTAGTCTTTTCTGTTCTACATGTAAAGGTATATAGCTTTTTAGGTCAACCATGGTATTGGATCGGTATCCGGTATCGGCTGATACTCAAAGTCACAGCATTGCAATCGGTATCGAAACTGAAAAAGCTGGATCGGTGCATCTCTAGTCACAACTCGTGAACTGTGGTCAACAAGAAAGTTTGCTCCGGCCTGTAGGCAGTGCTCAACTGGCCTGGTTTTGGCTGAACTGTAGCCAACATGGCAGCCATGTCACAAACCTTCTCATTTTACAGCTAAACAGTACACTAAAATGTTTCCGAAAGCATTTTATCTTGATTCATATTTGAACAGCGCTGCCTAGTTTTCCAGCAACATGATTGACACCTGCTTTATAGACTCCTCAGCTCTGATTGGGTGTTTTCATTTAGCTGTAGTGGATTCTTGCAAATGCCATTAGAAGCACTATGAGGAGGCAGAGGAACATGCTTGTTCTCACAGACTGTCTGTCTCCTGTACTACTGTCAGGATGTAGCTTTAACTGTAGTTTATAAATGCAGTTTGTATTTGTTAACCTCATCATTTGATAGGATTTTCTGAGGTCAAAATGAGCAGTGAGGCTGAACTGATGGCCCTGCTATCTCATGCAGAATGCACATTATTATTGTGACCAGACAAAGCCATAATAATGTTACTTCATATTGTTTCGTCACCAGTTTAGTTTTTGGAGCCTTTTGCTGTGAACAAAGTGAACCACTAAGATAAATATTTGTGCCTAAATCCTCTGTTTGACCCCAGTGTTTCGTTTCGTATCTGCTTGCGCAAGCCTGTGCACACACATGTTGCTGCAACAACAGCTGCTTGACTCCTGCCATCCCCATAGCAACCACCTCCATACTTTCCAGCAGTCTCTAACCCCATCACCTTTAGCCCCTCTCTGTCCCCCACAGTCAACAGCATCCAAGCTTCCTGCAGTCTTCCGTGCATGTCATGGAGCACCACTTGTTGACCTAACACTTCCTGTTTTCAGGTCTGTGGGATGGTGTTCACCAGCTGCTTGTACAGAAGGATCAAGATGGAGCCTTACTGAGCACACCAGGCCCCACAACACACCACCTTCAACAGGCAGATGGAGCAGTGACCTGCTGACACCTTAACACCGAACTCTGAACCATGAACTCTGAGCTAAGCCAAGTGCACAGACACGTTCCAGGGCACCCACATCGCAGTCAGAAAAACAGTGCCACTGCTAGACAGGCAGAAGAATTTGGCTCTTCTTGTACTTGTGTGACAAAGCACTTAAATCCAGGCTTAAACATTTCTGAAACCTGACTGCGATCGCGGCCCACTGGAACAGCACATCTGTTCGCATCACTGCCTTGGCTTAGATGCATGCTTCTGTTTGAGCAGGACAAAAGAAAGGGATGTAGTCGTAATACATTCTCTGTTCAACTAATGATGATCCAAAGGTTACACAGTTTACAGTGCTGTTGAAGAAAGGTATTTGTCTGGATGTATATTTTGGAAACACAATGTGCCTCTTAAACAAGTCTGCTGGTGAATAATTACTAATTTTGTACCTGAAATCTCAAAGGGAGCTGACGATGCACTGTGATAAACGATATCTTTATATTTGTAGTTATGTCTATATTCCTGAAAGTAGCAGCACTGAATGTTGAACTATAGCGTCGTTATTGACTTTAAATGTACAGCTACAAACATAAGGACATGCTCAGACAGTCTTAAGAAAAAGAAAAGTCATTTTCTCCAATGGTTGCCAGATTCCTGAATCTGTAACTCCACCTAGTGGTTGCCACTGGTCATGTCCTGTACTGTGTGTGATATACATTTTGTAATACATCAAAATCAGTTATTGATCTTCATGTGTGACAGATAAATACACGTGTCAGATGGGTTTTGACATTAGCAAACATTCCCCTCTGTGAATTTAAGACCCATTTTCATCATCTCCCAGACACACTGAGGTCTCATTCTCTACAGTGAAGAAGCTGACCTTTTGTGAGAACTAAAGAAAGTAAAGACTATGTTGTTTTTCGCAGCCTAATCTATCACTCGCCATCCCCTTTTCCGTAGCTATTACTCACGGAACAGTGAGTGGCCTTGTTGCCGCTATACTGTAGAGGTGAGAAGTCTCGGCTCGGCTGTTGTGGAGTATAAAGTATGAGAAATATGTACCGAGTTGTTTCTGTTTCAAAGATCTAAAAGTGAAATATCCATGTGACATTTTTTCATTTATATCCTTTGCAATAATACAACACCATTGCCAAGACTCAGTACTCTACTGTATAAAGGGACCTTGTTAGCGTAGTGTTTTGTCCACAGACTGACTTACAACTGAACGGTGCTAATGTATGTCAATGGTTGATGATGAGATACGACATTGGCATGTGCTCCCACTACTGACTGCTGTTCAAAATATTGATACAAACATCAATAAATGTTTAAATATTGCCGTATTAACAGGTTTCATTGTGTTAATGAAAGACAGATATTTAAGAGCAGGCAGCTATGACGCTGTGATTGCTGTTTGGCGATGCTCTAGTTGACGAGATTATAATCATGAGGGCATCGTGTCAACTTAAGTAAGTTTATTTATCTGGGCACAAGCTTGTCCCAGAAGGCTGTACAGTTTCCATTGCATCTGACATTCATCCATGGACTTAAATATATAAGGGCTCTGACAGTTTGAGTTGTGAACCACTAGAGGGAGACAGAGATTTTCCATTTGCAGTGGCTCAGGCTTGACATCCAGTTTTACATGTCAAATAATCCTGCTGTATTTTAAAATTGGACCCAGTTGAGACAGTTTGGTCTCACCCAACACTCAAAGTGAGCATTCCTTAATAGCAGACGATACTCCGACCGAATGTTATTGCAGATTCATTTTTGTCACCTCTGAACATTTCAGGCCCTCACAGATCCCTGTCAGCTCTAAATAAAGATGTCTGATATGTGCTGCATTCATGTGCTTAAAGTCGTAATGTGGAAACAACATGGACACAAATACAAAGACGACGTGTTGTATTTTATTGCTTAGAACATTTAAACAAGTTGAAAACAGTCTGAATCTTTATACTGTATTACAAGGTGGTTTCGTCCAAGACATGTTGCTAACTAATTTAGGTCACTCTACGTGGACAGCGACTAACAGTTACAACCTAATACCATAATACAAATTATATATGACATGCTAAATGTTGATTAATAAAAAGTTTATAACCATCAACCAGAGTAGTTGACTGAAGTTACATGACTTGGACTCGAGTCACAAATTTAATGACTTTAGACTTCACAAAATCAAATACAACTTGCAACTCAACTAGGACTTTAACACCAGTGACTCGTGACTTCACTTGAATGTGTGCCATAGATCAACTAATTTCCTTTCATTTCCTTGATTAGCTAATATTTACGCTGTTCATTTCCAGCAGGTCAAAACTTGATTCTCCAGATTCACTTTGTTTGAGTCACTGTGACAGTATCCGTTCAAGTTGCAGGAGAGAATCATGGAGAACATAGTTTATGTTACTGAGCGCCAGTAAGGAAGAATGATACCAAAGATAATTTTGTTCATTTTGTTATCACAAAACCAACTGCAGTATGTAATTTGCGCATATTGAAAATAACAAACAGAGACGCAACAACTTCCAACTTGTCACAAATATATACAAATTTAAAAAGCATTCACGTTTTTGGGAATTTAATACATTTTACTCTGTTGTTAAAATGGCATTACATTTGGTGAAGAGCGCATTATGACTCGTTTAGAACTTCAGCCTCAAAGTTCAGGACCTGGGACATGACTGCAAAGTCTAATTGTAATGGTAACCTGCAAAGCAATAACGTGGTCCCTCCTCTGGTATCAACTTAACATTTACTTTTGTCTGCCATATTCCTGCATCTTTGACGTCAACTTGGCAACTCGTGCACCAAAATTTTCACCAATTTTCAAAGTTATTGTTCTGACTTAACTGGACATGAATTTTCCCAGTTGAATTACATTTGGTGAAGAGCGCATTATGACTTGTTTAAGACTTGAAACTCTGAAGTTTAGGTCCTGGGTCTTGACTCGGAACATGCCTGTCTTGACTTGGGACTTGAGTGCAAAGACTTGAGACTTAGATGAGACTTGGGAAGCAATGACTTGGTTCCACCTCTGCCATCAACCAAACATTTACTTTCATACACCATGTCTCTGCATATATGAAATCTACTCTGCAACTCATGTCAAAATTGTATCCAACTTGCCAAGTTGTTCCTACTTGAGAGAGCGTTCAGGTGAATTTTCTAGTCAGATTACATTTGGTGAGGAGGGCATTATGAATTGTTTAGGACTTGAAACTGTAAGTGTAGGACCTGGGTCTTGACTCTGAACTTGCCTGTCTTGACTTGGGACTTAGTTGAGACTTTTGAAGCAATGACTTGGTTCCACCAAACATTCCAAACATTTACTTTCGTCCACCATGCCTCTGCATAGGTGGCATCAACTCGGCAACTCGTGCCAAAATTTTCGCTAGCTGTCCAAATTGTGGATGAATTTTCCTAGTCAGATTACGTTTGATGAGGAGCGCAAGAGTCTTTGTTTAGGACTTGATACTCAAAGTTGAGGACTCTGGACCTGACCTTGGACTTGCCTGTCTTGACTTGGGACTGAGGGTGCTTTCATACCTGCTCCGTTTGGTTTGGTTCAGTCAATCTCAAGTTTGTTTGCCCCCTAAGTGCGTTTTTTTAGGGCAGGTGTTAACACAGCAATCACACTCTGGTGCGCACCAAAACAACCAGACAGAGACCTTCTTGAAGAGGTGGTCTCAGTACGGTTACAAATGAACTCTGGTGCGGTTCGTTTGTGGTGAGAACGTGTTCCGACCTGGATCTGAACCAACTGCAGTCACATGACACATTGTTTGGGTTAAACATGAGCATGTTACAGTCCTGAAGGATTATTAATGTGCACCTCCTCCTGTACTGCCTTAATATGCACATTCAGCACATCCAATGCATCAAAACATTGTTTTCTAGTTGGAGCCGCGCCTCGTTTTCAAACTGTATGGTTTGACTAAAATGAACAATGACAGCAATATAGTCCACGATGAGCAGCGCTAAAATCAACCTGCGTAGTTGTTCCTCCATTGTGACATTAGAAAGTGTCACATTTATTTTGCAAGTGTACTCTTCTTCAACGTTTTGTTTACTTCCTGGATTTTTCCCACATGGAAATTCTGACCAATCGAGCAGCTTTCTCGCACAAAGCATTTTTTTCTGGTCCAACTGTAAATGCTTACAATGCAAACTCTAGGTCTGAGAGCACCCTTAGATGTGACTTGCAAAGCAATGACTTTTCTTTGTGTCTGCATATATGATGTCATCTTGTGTACCAAAACTGTTCACCAACTTTCCGAGTTGTTCCAGCATGTGGGAGCGTTAAGGTAAATTTTCCCGGCCTGGAAGTCATTTCTCCATTTATTCCAACACCACATGAATGCAAGGAAAATTGGCACGTGTCTCACTGCGTTTTTATACCTGTGAGAGCCAAACCTTAGGACACTGATTCATGCTAAAGCTTACTCACTTGTCTATGTTTCATAAACAGTGCCTTCTCATTACATCAGATCCACTTTGCTCTTCAAAATAGCCCTAACTGTTCTTGGCCTGTTTTTACAGCCGCGGTTTTGTGTGAATATTTTTCGGGCTATATCTTTGTATTCACTCTGTGCACAATAGCGCACACATAATAAGCAAAGTCGTGCAAGATAATGTAGGCTGGAGTGAGATCTCAGGTTGAGCTTGGTTATATTATTGAGAAGTGTGTGGGCTACATTAAGAGGACATTGCGAAAGCACTTTTTACTTGTGGGGTCTCCCACAATTCCACATCGGAAAATCTTGTAGAGTTCCCAGTTCAAACCACATTTATTCATTATGCAGAGCTGGTGCAGTTTTAAGCCCTTGTTGAGGCAAAGTCTCCACTTATTAAACACTATGCCACGCACATAGAGTGTGTGTGCATTGTTGTTGGGGCCATACTGTTGGCATATGACCTAACTGCTTGTCATTGAAGCACGACGTTTTCCTTTTTCTGTAGTTCCCCACGGCTCCAGATTACTTACAAGACAGTGTCGGTTCAGAGCGATCTGTCATCGTCACCCATTTAGGAAAAAGGGCAAAAAGTTTTAAAAGAGTTTGGATGTTCTCCAACAGTCTGGCTTCAGTGAGCCCATAGAGTCTGTCAGTCCCTTTGTCTTCATCAGCTATAGGAGGATGGCTCTCATTTCCTGCAGATGTCACACATACTGCGATGCAGAGAAAGGGCACACTGATACTGACAAGATAGAAACACACACACACACACAGCTCTGAGGTTGCACACATTAGCATGCGGTTTACACCGTTTGCCAGAAGAGACCCATGAGGGAGAATTAGGAGCAGCTGGAGATTCACTACTCCCATGTGTTGAGGCCTCTCTGCGTCACAAACACACACACATTCTTACACTCTCCATCACATTGTAGCCGTAGGGGCAGTATTTCGATGAGACAGCTCGGGACGTTACCTAAGAACACATGTTGCAGTATCGTTTGTCTGTCGACTGCGAATGTGTGTTTGCATGTGCAGAGATGAAGTGTAATACAAGCAAATCATTCCAGCAGTGAGCAAAAACAAAATGTACTGATGCCATCTCTAAAGTCTAAATGAATGTGCTTAATTGTGTTCAGATCTGTATTTGTCTCCTTGCGTGTGTGCGAGCTATCACACACTTGATTTATGAGTTCTCTGATTCTATAAGGCATTTGTTGAGCTCTTGTAAAAGGTATTCTTGCATAATACAGCTATGGTCCCAGTAAGTGCACCTGTGTTCAATATGTGCAGAAATACTTAAGCCTCAGTTGTGGTGATCGAACAATGTGGTGCTTTTAGCATACTAGATGTGTGGGAAAGGACTTCTGTAACACGTTTTGTGCTGAATGTAACAAGCTTGAAGTTAAGCAAGACTAGTTAAGGATTTATAAAGAGGTGAAGTCCTTCCTTTTCCAGTGTCCCCCATGGGACCTTATCATTTTTTGATACCGTTTGAGTTTTGTCACAATAAATCCATATGATGTTTGTCAATTTAAAACTGGGGTTGGTAGAAATACATACATTGATTTATTTAATCTTATTTTATTGTAGTTTCATGCAGCCCATTCACTCAGCCCCTCCTCGACCTTCTGTCTCTCTGATCAGACCACAGATGAGGCAAGAATTAGCTAGCTAGCCACCGCCACCTAGCTTCCCGCCGCTGTGGACTGATCCAGACACCCTCCAGAGGATACAGACCTTAAGTCTACTGCTTTAGTGACATGAATTTGGCCTGTGAAGATCCCCTGCCGCTTGGTGTCGCAGTGGGCTGGTGGCCAGCATCAGCGGGGCTAATTTGTGTAATGGCAGCAACAGAAAGTTTGCTGGTCCAGCGGGGAGTA